TCGTGTCATTAGGTCAACTGCAACCTGGCAGTCCGTGTGAATATGCACAGGCAAGTCGGAGTCCTGCATCCGAACAAGTTGCATAGCGGTCCAGAGGCACACAGTTTGGCACGCAGCGGCGATTGGTGTCCTGGGCAGAGTCAGGAATGGCGGATCCATTACCCGGACCTGCGGCGACGTTGAGACGGGCTGCATCACTGTGATGTACATCTTGAATCACACTCCAAGTTGCTCGGCTGGCCGCCGGGATGTCAGGCGATTGGCATGTTCCATCCGTGTAGAACGTCCAACGTACCACATTCCCCTTGATAAATAGCACGTAGGATGGGTTCAGCGGGACATTGGTGAGCCACTGCAAGGTGTGTCCATTCAGGTCTCTGGTCACGGAGCCACGTGACGACATCAGAATGACGAGTCCTGCATGCGTCACCGACAGGATTTGAACACTCTATGGTGCGTGGTGTCGTCACGTTGACACAGCGCGCAGTACGGATCGGCCCACGAGGCCCCCATTTCTGATATTTCTGGGCGCCACTGACAACGACACCAGTGATATTCATGACTGCGCTTTTCTGCACATGACGTGGCAGCGCTGTGAAAGCTTCACGGGTGGTCTGCAAGTGAAAGGGCACTTGTACCGGAACTCCTTTACGGTTACCGACACCCTGCGTGATGCGACAGGACCAAGCATGGTGAAGGGAACGTACAAGCTCAGACTTATCCACACATTGGATGCGAAAATTGACGCCGGCGGTACCACTGACCAATCCTGTGGGACCCAGCGTAAGTCCAACTTCACGAAGATACAAGGCGCAAGACGATGCCGAGCCGAAAGCACGATCACCATCAAAAACATGGACCCGTTCACAGAAGGCCATCACGCGATGGCGACTTCCAAAACCAACGTTGGAGTGCACGCAGCATATTAGTGACCACATACGGAGCGGATCAACCAAGTAAGAGGACACGGCCGCACATGATACCATTGTCGAGGCATTAGTAAAATTGGCCGGTCCCATGAACTGGAATTCCAAACCATGGAGTACTTTAGACCATATTCCACCGGTGATGAGTCTCGCGCGGACAGCAAAGTCTGGCGTCGCACGATACACCCTGTAAGCCATGTCAGCAGCAAGTTGCACTCTTGCATCAAAGTCACGTGGTTGCATGATGTACGCGCCGCAGGAGTGTGAGATAAGGGACCCAACTTGGAGCCCAAGCTTTGCGGGCGATGTGTAGATGCTAGTTGCAGTAGTTCAGATTTTGTTTGAGCCGTGACGGCCATGAGAAAGCATAGCATTCGTTGCCAGCAGAGCAATGGTGCTGAGGTAAAAGATTTCAAATGATGCCTTCATGAAGTGAAAGGCATATTTGAGGCGGGGTGCTAGCCATGCACAGTTTGTGGATACGTGTGTTGACTTGGTTGTGCACCACGATAGTTTTGCCACGGTTTTGCATGTGTACATGAGACTCCGACTTACTTGCAGGCGTCTTGGCACAAGTGAAAAGAAAGCAGTTATGATAAGCAGCGCCGCAGCATCCTCTGCATTACCAATGGTGCCTAAATGTATAGAAGAAAGAGATGACGATGACCATCATGATGACGATGATGAAAGTGATGACTGTAAGATGATAAGGATGATGACTCTCGTGATAACTATCATCGTGGCATCCTCTGCATTACTGTCAAGATAACTAACATCGTAGCATCGTCTGCGTTGCCAATGCTGCAGAACCAGAGATCATGATGATCGTACGGACAATGATGATAAGGATGACGACTGTCATGATAAGTGTCATCACAGCACCCTCTGCATTCTAATGGTGCCTAACGCCACATTTGAAACGCATAGAAGAAAGAGATGACGATGACCATCATGATGACAATGATGAAAGTGATGACTGTGATGACAATCATCATGAAAATGATAAGGATGATGACTCTCATGATAACTATCATCGTAGCGTCCTCTGCAATACCAACGCTGGCGATGACTGTCATGATTTCTATCATCGTAGCATCCTCTGCGTTACCAACGCTGCAGAATCAGACATCATGATGATACGGACAACAATGATAGGGATGACGACTGTCATAACAAGCATCATTGAAGCACAATTGAAATGCGTAGAAGAAAGAGATGATGATGACAATCACGATGACGATGATGAAGGTGATGACTATGATGATCATGATCATGAAGATGATAAGGATGATGACTCTCATGAATCATCGTAGCATCCTCTGCATGACCAAAGCTGCCGATGACTGTCATGATAACTACCACTCTAGCCTCGTCTGCATTGCTAGTGCTAAGGCTGACGACTGTTCATGATAAGTATCATCACAGCATCCTCTGCGTTACCAAAAATGCCGATGACTGTCATGATAACATGATAATCGTACGGAGAACGATGATAAGGATGACGACTGTTCTGATAAGCAGCGCCGCAGCATCCTTTGCATTACCAACAGTGCCTTTGAAATGTATAGAAGAAAGAGATGACGATGACCATCATGATGACGATGATGAAAGTGATGACTGTGATGACAATCATCATGAAGATGATAAGGATGATGACTCTCATGATAACTAGCATGGTAGCATCCTCTGCATAACCAAAGCTGGCGGGCTACCAGTGCTGCAATCATGAAGATCACACGGACAATGATTCTATGGATGACGACTCTCAGTACAAGCATCATCACAGCATCCTATGCATTACCAATGGTGCCTAATGCAACATTTGAAATATATATAAGAAAGAGATGATGATGACAATCACGATGACGATGATTAAGGTGATGACTGTGATGACAATCACTATAAAAATGATCAGGATGATGACTCTCATGATAACTATCATCGTAGCACCCTCTGCATTACCAAAGCCGATGACTGTCATGATAACTATCATGACTGTCATGGTAACTATCATTGTAGCATCGTCTGCGTTGCTAATGCTGCAGAATCGAGATGATAAGGCTGACTCATCACAGCGATATGTGTCATCGCAGCATCCTCTGTGCATTACCGCAGCATCCTCTGTGCATTACCAATGGTGCCTAGCATCCTCTGCGTGACAAAAGCTGGCGATGACTGTCATGATAACTATCATCGTAGCATCCTTTGCATCACCAATGCTGCAGAACCAGAGATCATGATGATCATACGGACAATGATGATAAGGATGACGACTGTCATGAGAAGCATCATCACAGCGTCCTCTGCATGACCAATAACGCCACACCTGAAAGGTGTAGAAGAAAGAGATTACGATTGTCACGATGACGATGATGAAGGTGATGACTGTGATGACAATCATCATGAAGATTCATAGTGACGATGATGAAAGTGATGACTGTGATGACAATCATCATGAAGATGATAAGGATGATGACTCTCATGATAACTATCATCGTAGCATCCTCTGCATGACCAAAGCTGGCGATGCCTGTCATGACAAGTATCATCGTAGCATCCTCTGCATTACCAATGCTGCAGAATCAGAGATCATGATGATCGCACGGACAATGATGATAAGGATGACTGTCGTGATAAGCATCATCGCAGAAATGCTGCCTAACGCAATCGCGATGATGATGATGAAGGTGCTGACTGTGATGACAATCATCATGAAGATGATAAGGATGATGACTCTCATGATAACCTCTGCATTACCAAAGCTGCCGATGACTGTCATGATAACTACCATTGTAGCATCGTCTGCATTACCAATGCTGCAGAATCAGAGATCACGATGATCACACGGACAATGATGATAAGGATGGCGACGGTCATGATCACAGCATCCTCTGCATTACCAATGGTGCCTAAGGCCACATTTGAAATGTATAGAAGAAAGAGATGATGATCGAGGATGCTACGATGATAGTTACCATGACAGTCATCAGCAGCTTTGGTAAGGCAGAGGATGCTGTGATGATACTTATCATGACAGTCGTCAGCCTTATCATCATTGTCCCTCTGATCATTATGATCTCTGATACTGCAGCATTAGCAATGCAGACGATGCTACAATGATAGTTATCATGACAGTGATCGGCAGCTTTGGACAATGCTACAATGATAGTTATCATGAGCGTCATCATCCTTATCATCTTCATGATGATTGTCATCATAGTCATCACCTTCATCATCGTCATCAAAGCATTTGAAATGTCTCGAAGAAAGAGATGATGATGACAATTGTGATAATGATGCTGATGATGATGCTGATGAGGATGAATAGAGAAAGGGTCGGCGGATTTTTCTGTGCTAAAATAAGAGCATCAACTTCTTCAATTGTATAACCTCCACCTAATGATCCTGCTGTGTCTGCTAATTCTTGTTTTGTAGGATAAACACTGCTTAGGGTTGATGGTTCTGTTGAATTTATTGATACTAATTCACTTGCTGCAATTCTACTTGAGCCGTCCAGTGATAATGTTGAAAACATAATTATTATATAGTAGGTTATATATTAATTATATTGTATCTTTTCTTTCCTCTTGAACCAAATATACCTTTATTTAATGCATTGTATTTTTCTTGCTTCTGTCTCAAATATTCATTTTGCAATAATTGGTAATGCTGTGCTATTAGCGGGTTTGGAGGAAAACAAAAGAACGCAGGGCGATTCGGGCATCTCGTCAGGCAAACATGTCAGAAATCAAGATTCGTTTGGCAAAACTTAGCCCAGCATTGACAATCCGTTCCCCCTCGTTCGGCATGAGAGATGTGTTTCTCATGTGCTGTAGTTGGTATGTTTGCCCGGCCAAAGCTGAACTTCCAGCGGTGGCCGCACAGGCAAGGCACAGGTGAAATGCAAGAAATCAGGTGAACCATCAATGGGAACCACTTGGTGAGCATTCCCTCGTGAGTGAGTGCAAGTACTAAGTAAGCCGGACGCTGCCTGGATGATACTTTCCGAAGCCATTTGGATCCTTCAGAGACATCCGGCTGTAGATTTTCGCTCTTCGACTCTCCGTCACCAAGATGAGTGCGCAGCTGCGTCAGCCGGCGCCGGCGGACGTGGAGTCCCGCGTCTTCGTGTTTTGTGGAGAGGGCGCTCACAGCGCAGACACGGACTTGGACATGCTGAAGTTCAGCCCATCCTGGCCTGCAGTGCAGCAAGCATTGCGCGATGTGGGGCATGCAGATCCCGAGGTTTTCCTCCAGGCCGGCGGCCGGGGTAAAGAAACGCCCAAGATGTTGGGGATGTTGGTCCCACAGATGTCAGGCAAATAAAGGGGGCTATCCCTGGACTTCATGGCCACTCTATCATGTCCTTCATGCAAGGTTGCAGCATGGGCCGAACCGAGCCATCACCGATCAGCACCCCCGCACCAAACCTCCATTGAACCCTCCTCAAAACATCTCAAAACCCTCATCGGACCGCCACGTTTGCTTCCTTGCCGAAGAAGGATCACGCGGTGGAGCTGGCCCAGTTTCGCGCGGCATAGCCGGGTCATTCCACCCGGCAGTGCCGACCGGTACCAACCCCCCAGTCTGCAGTGAGTAACCGACATGACTGACACCCTGCAGGCGAACCTCGGCGTGCATTCTGCTCCAAACTCGCCAGTGCTGTCTGTGGCCGTGGGCATCCTGAACGCCGACTTATGGAAGCAATGGGGACAGACGCCATCCGTCGTTCTGGGCCACTCTGTGGGTGAGATAGCTGCCGCCTACACGGCTGGCATGTTGACCATCGGGCAGGCCATCGGTATCGCGCACGGCATGGGCGTGGCCATGCAGAACCTTGCTGGGTTTATGCTGCACGCCGAATTGCCACGGAGTGGGTTGACGAGTCTACCGACTGGTGTGCATTTGGCCTCGGTCAACTATGTTGTCAAGCGAGGCCGCGGCATGTTTCCGGACACTTCAACAACATGTAACATCATAAGTGAGATGTCACGGTAAGCGCAGCCTGTGGCTGGAGGTCAGAGAGATGCAAGATAAGCCATTGCCTACTGCAGACTGTAGGTGCTGCGTACATGTTACAATGTTGAGCAGCGTGCGTGTCCCAGAGGCGATTGCAAGGAGAAGGACCTGCTGAGCGTGACACTGTGTGGCCTTGGCTCGGCAGAGGATTGCCTGGCAGAACATCCTGGCGCTAAGGTTCTGCAACCGCAGCATGCCTGGCACCATCCCGAGGCAGCTTGTTTGTATTGGCAGCTGTTGACTTGTTGACCTTGCGGTTTCTGAGTTTCTGCCTAGTTCCCTGGGAAGCTTGAGCTGCGTGCAGCCAAGGCGCCCTTGCCCGCCACAGACTTGCCACGTGGCCAGGCCTCTTCCATCGCATTCATCTCTTCAGTCACCGGCACGCAACTCCATGAGCTCTCGCAGGATCACTGGCGTCGCTGGTTGCGCAGCCCCGTGAACTTCGCGGAAGCCTTGCAGGTGGCTGCGGGTCATGCAAGGCGGTGTGCGGTGCTGGAGATGGGCCCGCACCCCGTGTTCCACGCGGCGATCCAGGCCGGAGTCTTAAGGCATGTAGGATGGCGCACGCGCGCGTGCTTGTCATATTTGATATGAGTCACTTGCCATGTTAGTCAACATTGCTGCGACGCTACGCATGTCATGCGCTTGTCGCGCTTGCCGTGCGCGGAGGCCAGCTTCGGAGACGAGCTGATGGCCTACGCCAGCTCCATGCACCGCGGGGAGAAGGCGGCGCCGTGGCTGCGGAGCCAGCGCGGGCAGCTGCCGGGCTTCCGGGCTCGGCTGGCCCAGGGTCTCCGGGCCCTCCGGGTGCCGGGCGTGCCAGGTGCACCGGAGCTGTGCCCGGTCACGCGCTTCGCGGAGCAAGGCTTCAGCTCGCAGCAGCTGGTGCCGCTGGCCCAGCGCCTGGCCGGCTTCTTCCCCGGCCTGGCGGTGCACGACCTCTACCGCTTTACCTCCCTGGAGAAGCTCCAGGACTGGGACGGAGAGGTTTCCCTGGGACGGATGCCAGGCACGGCAGGCACGGCAGGCACGGCAGGCACGACAGGCACGGCAGGCACGGCAGGCACGGCAGGCGTGGACCAGTTGGAGATCCTGGGCTGCGGCGTGCGCCTGCCGGCCGGGATCCACTCCCCGGGCGCCTTGTGGACGCTCCTGCTGGACGACGACCGCCACGCGGCCTTCGCCGCCAAGGACGGGGTCAAGGCCGCCTTCCTGCAGCCCAAGTTTGACGGCCAGGCCGCCATGGCAGCTGCGGAGGCCGCCGGGGTGGAGGGCGCCGAGGCGGCCGCCATGGATCCCCAGCACGCCTTCGCCCTTCAGCTGGCGCAGGAGATGTGGGAAGATGCAGGTTCGGAGGCTGCGCAAGCTGCAAAAGCGCGGCTGGACCATGTCGGTGTCTACATTGGGGCGTGGCAACCTGCAGTGTCCAACGCCCGGGCATCGGCCTACCACACCATCGGCACATCTCTCAGCGCTCTGGCGGCGCGGGTGGCAAACGCTCACGATTTGCAAGGCCCCGTGATGACGCTGAACACGGCCTGCTCCTCAGCGCTGGTGGCGGTGCATGAAGCGCTGCGGGATGCGAGGGCTGGTCGCATTGACTTTGCCATCGCCGGCGGCGTGAACCTCTTCGGGGACGACCTGCAGCTCTTCACCAACCTCCGCAGGGCAGGCATGTTGAGTCCATCAGGCCGCTGCCACACGTTCTCAGCTGATGCCGATGGATACGTTCGAGCTGAAGGAGGCGCCCTTTTCCTGCTGCACACCTCCGACTCCAAGGACTCCAAGATGCCTTCGCGCTGCAGGATTTTGGGCTCTGCAGTGACCCAAAACTCGAAGCAAAAGCCTTTGTCATCCGTGGACCCCGCGGCGCAGGAGCGTGCCATTCGTTTGGCCTGCCAAGATGCAGGAGTTCGGCCGGCAGAGCTTGCGGCAGTTGAGCTTCATGGAACTGGGACGCCCTTGGGCGACCCTGTGGAGGTCTCTGCCTTGGCAAAGGCAGTTGGCCATGCGCCGTGTGTGATGACCGCCGTGAAGATGCACCTGGGCCACTTGGAGTCTGCGGCAGGGGCGGTCGGCCTGATGAAAGCCATGCTCATGTGCCAACATCGCCAGGTGCTCGGCTTCTCCATCGATGGCAAGGGGCTGAATCCTCAAGTCATCGCTGCCATGGAGGGCTCGTGCTTGCCAACGCCAGGCAAGCAGGCGAGCCTCACCGAAGACTCGGTGCTGGGTGTGTCCAGCTTCGGCTTTGCCGGTAGCAATGCTCACATCATCGTGGCCCCCACCCCGGCGCACCACGCCTATCCGAAATATGAGGGCGGTGGCAGACACGAAACCGTTCCCACAAGGCCTCCGTCTGCGCTGTCTCTCGCAGAGACCGTGTCCACTGCGTCGCCCAGATCGCAAAGGTCGCAAGAGCCGGCCAAGTGCCCTAGTACCCACGCCAGCCGCTTGTTCTCCGTGGCCGAGGATGGCGATCTGCCTGGGGAGGTGGACATCAACGTCAACTCCCTGACCTTCGTCGGCAGTGCCGTTCTCTCCATCGTTGGCGGGGACGCGGAGGTAGATGTCGACGCAGATCTGCATGAGCTTGGCGTCGACTCCCTGGGACTCGCCGAGCTCCTTGGGCTCTTGGAGGACAAGTTCGGCCGGGGATGCATCACCATCGACAAGATCATGGACGAGCCCAGCTGTCGTGCTATCGCCACCAATCTCGAATGCGGAAGTGCCCGTCCCTTGCCACCAAGCGTCTCGACGCCCGCACCGAAGCGCCTCCCTGCCAAGTCAGTCACCATCGTCCTGCCGAACACCGTGCCTGAGACAGTTCTAACTCAGCCGTCCGTCAAGTCTCCCTCGCCCAGCAAGCCTTGGATTCGTACCACGCATGTGGGCTCCCTCCCCCGTCCAGCCGGACAGCTTCATTTGGCAGAAGTGATTGTGCAGCAGGCCGGCTGCGTAGATGTCATCAATGATGGTGAGTGGGGTCGAGACAACTACATTGCTGATGTCATCAGTCGTATCCCGAATCTTCGCGGAACCGCTGGAGCTGCGGGCTGCTGTGCCAAGCACGCCATGCCTGTCGCAGCTGACATGCACGACGTGCCCATCTACGCCCAGCGCTTCACGGGTGGGAACGGCCTCATTACCCTGAACCCCAAGCGCGAGGCGGTGAGTGACTTGGCCTGCGTGGCGCACCCCAAGTACGAGGAGGCAGAGATTCCAAGCTTGAGACCCTTCCTGGAGGCTGTGGCAAAGGCTGAGAAGGATGCCGCGGACTGCTTCTACTCGGTGCCTTCGCCTGGCACCATGGCGCTCTTCTGCCAAGATGCCTACTTCCACGACCACAAGGCGTACGTCATGGCCTTGGCGGAGGCCCTTGCTCCGGAATACCGGCAGGTTGCCAGGACCGGTCTCCAGCTGCAAGTGGACTGCCCCGATTTGGCCATGGGCCGGCACACCAGGTGGTCCGAAATGACGGACTCCGAATTCCTGGACATCGCCCGCTGCAACGTGGCTCGGCCATGTGTAAGTCGTGCGTGCTGCGTGGCTTGTTTGGCATGTTCAGTTGGAGAGTACCGGCGTAGCGCAACCACAACCAGGCCTCAACATGCAAAATATGCAGGTTTGTGGCTGCTTCCCGGTTGGTACTATGTAGAGGTGTATGCTCCCCCTCCCACTGCCGATGGCTCATTTCAACAAAGGTGGAGGCCCTGAACATCGCCCTCAAGGACGTGCCGTTGGAACAGATCCGGATCCACGTCTGCTGGGGCAACTACGCAGGGCCGCACCACAAAGACATGCCCGCGGGCCTTTTGTGGCCGATCTTGGCAGAGGCGAAGGCAACGCGCCTGGGCCGCATGCATCCTTGTTTGCCTTGAACAAGTGCAAATGTGGTATGAACATGTATGACATAGGTCATAAAGGTGTCTCCTACCAGGCTGCTCGACCTGGCATTTGGTCAAGCATGGTCAAGCCGCATTTCAGGTACTTGCTCGTGGAGGGGGCGAATGCTCGGCATCGCATGGACGTGCTGGCTTTCGAGGAGGCCGTCAAGAAGGGCCACTTCAAGGAGCATCAGGTCATCGTGCCTGGCCTCATCGACACCACCGCGGCGCGCGTGGAAGACCCTCGGCTCATCGCGGAGACTCTGCTGCGGTATGTCCGCGCTGCAGGTCATCCGGCCCGCGTCATGGCCGGCACAGACTGCGGGTTCGCCTCCACTGCAAAGTCCACGGCCATCACTTCGGACCTCGCCTGGTTGAAGCTCAGGAGTCTGGCGGATGGGGCTGACTTGGCCACCCGGTGCTTCATCGAGCAGCGTGCTCCCGTGCCCTGCCGCACCCCTGCCTTTGCGCCCACGCCTTTCCGCGCCGTCATCTTCGCGGCTGCCAGCGACCAAGTGGACTATGTGGCCGAGCTGCGGCAGGCCTTTGACGGCCTCACCATGCACTCTACCCTCGTCTTCTCGGCGGACGCCTTTGCAGAGCTTCGTTGGGTCGTGGATGTGCCCCTGGCCTTGGTGGCGCTGGGGAGCGAAGGCCTGGCTCTGGCCCAGCGGACTCTGCAGCAGCTGGAGGAGGACAAAGCCGTGGCACGGCGGCCAGCCAAGCTCATGTCCTTCGATGACCCACGCTCGATGCCTTCAACGGCAGAGGTGGCTTCCGCCGTGCGCGCAGAGGCGCTGGGCCGCACCGGCTTCGACAAGCGGAGCTTGGTGCTGCCGCGGCTCGGCTCTCCGCCAGCCTCCGTGGACGTGGTGGTGGTTGGCGCGGGTCTCCTGGGAATGCTCACGGCCCACCGCTGCCGCAGCGCAGGCTTCAGCGTGGCCGTGTTGGAGCAGCGCGCCCTGGTGGGCGGCATCTGGTCCATGTACGCCAACGCCACTTCGCAGGTGAACAGCTCCGAGGGCGGCTACTGCATCAAGGAGCTGATTGGCGAGGATGACGGCAAGGCCGCATGGGACAACCGCGACCACAGCACCGCTGCAGAGGTCCTGACCGACTTCGCCAAGCTTGGGGACAAGCTCAAGGACCACATCTTCACTTCCGTGAAGGTCGTGAAGGTGTTGGGGGAGCGGGGCAACTACACCGTGCTCTTCGAGGATGCCCCTCTTCTAGTTTAAGGCGTCTTCCTTGTTGTTTGTTGAGTCCTTGATGTAGAGGGTTTTGGAGAGGAGTGCAGGCCGCAAACAACGTGTGACGGCACCATGTTGAAAATGGGCTTGGTGACTCCCCCAGAATCTCAGTGTCAGAGCCGACGGATTCTGAGCCGATCCAAAAGCCCTGAAATATTTTGCAATACCTTTCTGAAAGTGGGCGGACGCTCGGAGCCGAGGCGGTGTCGCAGAGCGCTGGCATTGCGCAGTGCCGTGGCGTCGTGCTGTGCATCAACGATCGCGTGGGCTTGCCGCGGCCGCTGGACGCGCCAGGGCGCTCCGACTTTGCCGGCGTGGTGGCAGATGGCACGTCTGACTCGTTGGCAGGCGCGAATCCGCGAAGGGAGCCCCATGTTTGAGAAGTGAGGGTTGGACAGGCTCCCCCCCATGATCGCTCGCCCTGAGAAGCGTCAACAAAGACCATCCCGTTGAGCGCTGTGTAGCGCCGTTTAGCGGCCCTGACGCGGCTTCCGGCTGCCAGCTTCCAGCTCGGACTGTCCGCCTCACGCGCCAGGCGTGGCTTGGCGCGGCAAGCGGGTGGTCATCGCCGGCATGGGCGCCTTCGCGGTGGAGAACGTGCGCACGGCGCTGGAGCACGGCGCGGCCCAGGTCACGGTGGTGGGCCGACGCCATGGCACCATTTGCCCCAAGGCCCGAAGCTTGGAGACATTCTAGGAGACTATGGAGACTTGATCATTGCTCAATATTGCTTATTTGCCCACTCAATGTGGAACTTGGACCCTTCCAGATTTGGAGGATGTCAGAAGAGATGTTAGAAGATAATGATCATATAAGATGTTTGAAGGCTTAGCATCATCTTGCTTTGAATGGTCCTGCTTAGGGAAGAGTGCTGTTTGTGAAGTTCCGACTGGTAGGTCAACTTGGGAGCGGGAACTTGAGGGGAGTTTGACAGTCCGGGGAGGATCTTGAACTTCACACTTGGGAGTTTGAAAGCCGTTCTCCAGGCCATTGACTACCTCAACTTTGTGAAGCCATGGGATGCTAAGTACAAGCATGACACGCAGACAAACGTGAAGCAGTTCCTCCGATGGAAGCAGCTGTATGAAGCGTCCGGCTGCATTGTGCCAGAATGTTGGCCCAAGCAAGTGAAGCATGATGGCCACACAATCTCCGTGAGCGACATCTGGTTTATTGCTCACTTCATGAACAAGCTCCGCAGTAACACCGGTGAGATCAAGTGTGTCGAGACGGACGGGGTGGTTCTTTCCAGCGGCGACTTCATTGCTTGTGACATCGTGGTGGGCTGCATCGGCTTTGAACGCTCCAGCTTCCTCTGCGAGAGCCTGACTGGCCGCAGCGAGGTCAAAACGACAAATTACCTCGACAAGGACATGATGTACCTGGCGGACGCAGAGATCGACGAGGGTGCCCGGAGACAAAGAAAAGCAAGGACTTTCTTTAATTTGAGATGCAATTTGTGAACCGAAACGTTGAGTTCCCTAAAGCCGAACAAGCCCAAACAATCCGGAACACCAAAGACACGCAGAGGACGTTTGCACTGCCGCTGCGCTGCGCCAGGTGCCTTCAACTCCTTCTTTGGGTCGTCAGTCTTGGAGTACGGAAAGTTCTTCAGCAACGTCTTCGTGGAGGGCCTGCAGCGACCCGAGTTGGGCGAGCAACTGTGGGGGGTGGACATCCCAGCAGTGCCTATCACGCAGAGGCTGGGCCTTGGATCGTTGGGGCCGCTGGGGTGTTGTGTGCATGCTCCGGTTCCTTGCAAGCCGGACTCCCCACTCGTAGCGGGAGATGGAAGACCCTATCGGCCTTTAGAGGAGAGCATGTTCACTGCATGTGCCCGTGATTTGACTCAGCTGCAAGGAAGTGGAATCAATACATCGCTGCTGCCATGAAGCTCATCGAGACAGACCAGCAAATTGCTGAGCATGCCCGCCATCAGGCGTGCCAGGAATTTCTCACAAGTTGCCCTCACCCCCAACAACAACTGTCCCCAATTATTTCTTGCCTCTTATCCATTGCCCCCCTTGCAGCCCTTGGAGCCTTTGGGAGCCTTTGGGAGCCTTTGTCGTTTGGTTTCTCCTACTATCTTTTCGCCTCCGGAATTCGCTCCATCCCGAATCCCCCCGCACCCGACACGCCCGCTACGCCCGCTATGCCGGGCCAGGTGGATCGGCGCACGGCGCACTTCTGGCGCACGCTGCCCCCCGGCAGCTTCCTGGAGGTGAACCGCCGGGACTGGGAGGAGCTGCACCACCGGCTCAACGGCGGAGTGCCGGTGCCCAAGGCTCGTCTGCACAAAGCCAGTCGCCAATCGCCAGTCGCCCACGCTTTGCGTTTCGCCAGCCGTTGCCAGCCGCTTTGCCAGTTAACCAGCTTCCAAAGCCACAAACCAAAACGTTCGTGTTTGGCAGCTTCAGCATGGCATGTTCTCTGGCTAAGGGCGGCTCCCCAAGACCCCCCATGTTCAATCGTGGTTCAAGGGGCGTTTGCCTGTTTGAATCTGAAACATGTCCACGGAGACTTCACACACATAAAACACCTACAACACAAGATATATTGAACTACATGTCTCAGAAGCCCTTCTTGCAGGAACAGCAGCTGCCGTACTTCTTCGATGAGATTCCTGAATGGTGCTCAGACAGTCAGGCATAGGAAGCTCAGCCAATGTTAATCCATGCCGCTCTGTTGCTTTTCTTTCTGGGACATACCGTTTCACCTGTTGCGCGGGCGTTGGCCAGCTGGCATCTCGCGCGCTATCCGGGCGACGGGTTTTCCCTTGCATGATATGTCAGAATTGGCTCGGTGGCCAGCCGATGTGCCACAGATTTTGTGGTTAGCGTAATCCTTGTCACCTAATCTTCACCTGCACCAGGGCATCAGACATACGGTTTGTTCAGTTGTTGCATACTGTGAGCGTCTTTGAATTTGAAGTATGTGTTTGTTTGGCTGATCCTTTCAAGACAATCCTGGAGGAAGATTGGGCATGGCCGGTGTGGCGCTTCGCAATTCCAAGCTGATTTGCAAATCGTTTAGTGCTACGCAGACGACGTATAGACAAGTTCCGTCTGCAATGTGCTGCCGTGCAGTCAGATCACGGCAATTACTTCATGTTGTTCTTGCGCAGGGCCCGGCTATCTTCGGCCATGACGCGACAACACAATCCCAGGATACTCGGAAAACATGCGACTGCTCCGGTATTTGAAGGGAGGATTAGAGGTTGCAACTTCTGTTTGAATCATTTTCTTGTCTTTGTGCCGCAAGTGGAACTGACGTGCTATTGGGTTTCAAGTTGCAGTGTGGAAGCAGACTTTGCGGCCTGGCAGTCGGCTCCAGCAACACTCAAACTCGTATCGCCTTCGCCCTCAGCCTCTGGCATGGGCGTGGACGCGCGGCCATGGCAACTGTGGCAAAACGAGCGCGGCGCCTGAATCGGTGGCATGAATATGTCTATCTCCCAGAGCCGTCTGAGGCGCGGATAGGGGCACCTGTAACTAGTATCTAGGGGATATGCGCAGCACCTGAATTGGTTGCGTTGCGCTGGAGGACCACGGTCTCCTGCGAGCATGTCGCACTCCCTCTGCTATGTCGGCGTCTATTTTTCAATTTGTGAGATCCAGTGCGAACAGGATTCGGCTTGTAGGGTGTAGGGTTTTGACGGAAGTGAAACAAATTTGGGGTTGGAACCGTTCATTCAGGCATTTCAAGCTATTTGCCTTCGAACATATTTGCATTATGGCTGCTTCCGTGGGCGATACGTTGACGACGCAGCCATGTGTGGTTCAAACAATTTTGGAACGGAAACTTAACATGATGGGTGATGGAGCTTCCCAAATTGTTATGTTGTTAATTCTATTTTGCTGAAAGCAAGGCAATAGGCAGGAATACACATGTGTATATATATATATATGGATATATGCCGTCAGCACGGGTCGTTCGGCGTTAGCCCTGAACTCCACTGAGGGAAACTCAGATTTGCGCTGTCGGAGCATGGATATATCGCAAACAGTTCTCAGCAAGTGTGTTCCTGATTTGAGAAGCCAACCTGCACACGTTGGCCAATGCTCGATGCTTCGGAGGCAGAATTGTTTGTTTTTTCTTGCCGCGTGTTCTTTGCTGACCACCATCGTCAGGAGAGATTGACTGAACGAATCTGAAGCATGGCGCGTCCCAAAGCAATCACATGTTCTTTGTGGTGCCGTACCCTCATCTTTTTCTGGCAAAGCAGCATTGTGGTTTCACGATTTCCAGGGTATGTTTTGTGGGGGCTTTGTTTGGGGTTTCTTCAGGTGGCTTTGAGGGCCTTGGGGTCTGGGATTTTGAAAGTGAAACAAGAGAGGGACGTCAACAGTTGCTCCCATTTTTCTCCGCGACTCCTTCCACAGGTTTCATATGATCACAACCCCTGCCCATTTCTGAAGGTTCCATCACCCATGAGACCTGTTTTGTGGTTGCCAGACCTGGCACTTGCAGCTGCCATGCAGCTACTACCGCCGAGCGATCGTGGCTGGGTGGCCCACTCGACGTGTTGTGCGTGGGTTCGTGCTTGCGTGCTTGCGGGCGGGCGGGCTGGGCGTACGTGGGTGGGCGGCTGGGTGTGTGTGTGCGTGTGTGTGTGTGTGTGTGTGTGTGTGTGTGTGTGTGTGTGTGTGGGTGCGTGCGTGCGTGCGTGCGTGCGTGCGTGCGTGCGTGCGTGCGTGCGTGCGTGCGTGCGTGCGTGCGTGCGTGCGTGCGTGCGTGCGTGCGTGCGTGCGTGTGCGTGTGTGCGTGTGTGTGTGTGTGTTGTGTTTGTGTTTGTGTTTGTGTTTGTGTTTGTGTTTGTGTTTGTGTTTGTGTTTGTGTTTGTGTTTGTGTTTGTGTTTGTGTTTGTGTTTGTGTTTGTGTTTGTGTTTGTGTTTGTGTTTGTGTTTGTGTTTGTGTGTTGTGTGTTGTGTGTTGTGTGTTGTGTGTTGTGTGTTGTGTGTTGTGTGTTGTGTGTTGTGTGTTGTGTGTTGTGTGTTGTGTTTGTGTTTGTGTTTGTGTTTGTGTTTGTGTTTGTGTTTGTGTTTGTGTTTGTGTTTGTGTTTGTGTTTGTGTTTGTGTTTGTGTTTGTGTTTGTGTTTGTGTTTGTGTTTGTGTTTGTGCTTGTGCTTGTGTTTGTGTTTGTGTTTGTGTTTGTGTGTGTGTGTGTGTGTGTGTGTTTGTTTGTTTGTTTGTTTGTTTGTTTGTTTGTTTGTTTGTTTGTTTGGGTACCCTCAGGGGGTGGTTCGTGAGAGGCCGCAGCCCATTTCCTTATTGTTTGTCTCTGCAGGGGCAGTTTGCGCGCGGGATGGCGGGCATTGGTCAACCAGCCATAAGTAGTTTCGTCCCCACTCAGTTTCCTTCTTGCTTTCTACCAACTCAGGACTGCATTCTGGCGGTTGGGGCAAGCTGTGCAGCTTTTGCCGCATCCTGGCGTACGTTTGTGGCCCCAGACTTTGATGGCTTGCAGTGGTGAGAAAGCAGTCTGCAAGCACACGCTTGCAAAGCCTGATCCATTATTGTCGAAGTCGAGCTCGGGTCATGCGGGCAGGCAGCAGAGAAGGAATAATGTTTTCTGTGACATAAATGCACTTGACGTGCCTGACTGCTTGAATTTGTCTGGACAGTCACTCAAGTCTTGCACAGCTCTCAGGAAGCTGGACGTGGGTGCCGGCCCGGGACATGGTTTGCGCAGCCAGACGTCAGAAGACCCTTCCAAAATAGGGGGTTTCGGTTTGGTTCCCGTTGGTTCCCGTTGGTTCCCGTTGGTTCCCGTTGGTTCCCGTTGGTTCCCGTTGGTTCCCTGGTTCCCTTTCGTTCCCTTTACTTCCTTTTGGTTTCTTTTGGTTTCTATTGGTTTCCCTTGATGTTAATTTTAGAATCACGTAGGAAGGTTGTGGACGTCCTCAGCGGCCGCTGGCGTAAGGAGGCTGGTATGTGGTTAGTGAGGCTGAATACAAATAAACATGTACAGTACCGCGGTTGTGAGTTCCCGCGTGTTTTTCAGCCAGTCACTAAGCACTAATAGCCTGCCTCCAGACGCTCGCAATTGGGCTCACGTTTTGAGTTGAACAGGAGTTCGGCTGGGAAAGCTGGATGCTGGGCTCAGAGTTTACCTGGACATACTTATTTCCAATCGAAGCCCATTAAAAGAAAGAAAAGAAGAGTACTTGGAAACGAGTCACACATGTCAGCAGCGCATTGGAACTGAGGTGTTTCAACACTTTACATCCTGATGATGTGACCCCGCTGCATCTCCCAAGGCTTTCTTCTCCGCCCTGTTCTTTTGGCTGCAGCCTGCCTAACTGGTCGCCCGAGTCGTTTAGACCCTTGCGGGAGGGTAGCAATGTTCGGCGGAGTTTGCCAGGTACTGCTTTCAGAGTTCGCGGGGTGCCTGGTAGCCAGCACGTTCCAAATGCGTATCATTTTGGAGACCTTGTGGGTGAGCTTCCGGTGGCGAAGCTAGAGGAAGCAGCGCGCGTGGCCTCTATTCACGGGCACCCAACATCATGCATGCCTGGTCGAGGAGACAAGGTGGTTGCGGAAGGGTAACTGGCAGTTCGCTGCCCTTTGAGTTCGCAGATTCTGAGTGTGTGGCCCCTTCAGATGGCGTTTTGCATCACGCAGGTTGCGCTTTAGACTAAAAGCCGGGTCCCTATTTCGCGGGCACCCGAGGTTCCTGGAGTGGCCGGAGAGGCGATTGCAAAAGCCCGGCGCCGAGATTTTTCGGCGCAGTAGATCAAATTCCCGAGGCTCACTGGGAAACCACCCTCGTTCAACCTGCAAACCGCCAGACCACCAATGAATGGGAGGCTGAGTTCAACCAGAGGAGTTATTTGGAAGAGACTTTTCCGATTTTTCCGACTGATGGCAGGCTCAGTAGACACGCCGCTCCAAAGAAGGAACAAACCGCCAAAGAGAAAGAGCCCAAGAACCCAGAAGTGCTTGCCAAAATGACCCTGTTGCTTGCTTGCTTGCTTTGCCGCGGCTTTGCGGCCCTTTCTTCTGGCTTGTAGCATCGCTAGAGGATATGAAAGAGTGGACTACGGGGCAGATATGGCAGACTAAGTTTAGAGTTTAGATCAATGTGTATCTATATGTCGGACATATATATATATACAGATGTATATATATATATATAATATATATTTGTATGTATATATATATATATATATACACATACCTGATCATACGTGTGTGCCGCGAAGATCCGCCATGGAATGATCATTTGGCTGCTGGGGCTAAGACTTCCTCATGCCAGACTTTGTGAGAAATGACACTTTCAACTTGTGATGACCGGCGAGCCAAGCAGTACTTTCCTTTTGTGACATTTTTTTCGATGCTTTGCGCACTGCAAAAAGCCGCAAGCACCGCCATCGCAACCACTGCAACCATTGCAACCATGAACATCCTCTCCGACGACGAAGAGGCCGGGCCTGGTGGCACCTGCACGGTCAGTCTCAGATAGGCCGCTGATGTGACCCCAGGACGCTCCGTTTGCTCCAGTGGCTCCGACTGCGACATTGGCTGACGTGCAAGCCTCAGAAGAGAATTCCGTTTACAGGCTTGCACCAGTTTTTTTTTCTCCCCGGTTGACTGCTCATGGGAGGCTTGCGAGTAAACCAAAATATGAGATCTGTTGCCTGGTGCTTTTAGTGTCATGCCTTTTATACTGGGCCGACCAGTCTCCAACCGCACAAGCAGCTTGCCTGCCTTTTCACCAGGTGGTTGTGGACTCCGACGAGGAGGCTCGTTCCCGGTCGTGTTCGTGGCTTTTTCACAGGCAAGTGCAGCCCTGACAAGAAAGGGACTTGGCATGGAAAGCTATGGATGCCACTGCTGCGTGCGTTTTGGTTTTGTGGGCCGCGTATTTGTAGAGGTTTGCGTTCTTGCAGCAGGATCCCTTCGTTCGTCCGTTTTTCAAGGAAGGAGACTCTGATCCAAGAATCCATTTGGATATGGCTGAAAAAAAATGGTACCCAAATGGAACCCTGGCAAGTCCAAACATGGACCAAAACCTGAGTAACCCCAGCAGTGTTATTTGACCACACCTATTTGCAGCACAAATCCCAAGGCCCCCTTTTCACCTTACGGCAGGTGCTGCCAGAGCCTGCGAAGGACTGGCCGTGAGATTCGGAGCGCGCAGACATGCAGTCGAGTTTCCAGATTGCACCCTCCCCTCCGAAACCCGAGCCATCAGACTCTAGCGAAGCTCCAGAAGACACCGGCGGAGAAATTCGAAGTCGCCCTCTTGACGTTTTGGGTCACCCCTACCAGCTTTTGATTGACACTTATCTGAGTGTGGCCCCAGAACTGGAGGGTTGAGTCCGGTGCGATGGATTGGCGAGTAGGAGGCACCGTCGACACCGCCCAGAGGCGCGTTCTGGGCCGATCGCCTACTTGGCTTGTGCCGTGGACAGGCTATGACAGGTTCTGATTCTGACTTGGTTTTCAAAGCACTCCGGAAGCGAGAGTGAGCCAGGTGACTCTTTCGAACTTTTCTGGACATGTTTGAAAGGTACTGGGTCTTCGGGGCTTGGAGAAAATCATGGCTGCATGCACTAAGACACCTGTCGGGGGTGTTGGCTCAATCGAGGATCCACTTTAGAAACTGACATGGACCAGGAGTCTACAGGAATCTCCTGCTTGAGGATCTGTTTTTGGAGGTCCTTTGCAACTTTGTGAAACAGCCCTTTTCAGTACCCGGCAAGCACAACAGTTGATCAGGCACGGCATGGCGCAGGATCCAGGCAACTGCATCAGAGGACTGAAAAAAAGCCTAAATTGTTTTAGGCTTGTTCTTATGCGCGAATGTTCAAGAAAAGCACCTCTGCCGGAGCCAGATCGGCCATGCGAAGCACATGGAATTCCACACATCGCCCACGCAAATTTGTAGAACGGCAATCGTTTGGGATCCGACATGAAGGTAGAGTCTAAGATCCAGGGGTCCGATTCTTGTGACATTTTGGCACTACCGATTTTTGTGTGTACATGCAACACCTGGTACATCTCCGCTTTACGCCAGGCGTCACCAAATGCATGGCGGAGGCCCGGCAACTCACAGCACTCGTTGGACGCTCTCCGGTGAAGCCTTCTGGGGCCTTTTGAACTTTTGATGCTTCAGCTGCAAAGACCTGGGCGAGTTGCGAGTTTTAAGTCAACTCACCGTTTGTCACGCGGGGAAAGATGTCCGAAAGCCGATCTTGTCTCGGCATTTTGCCAGCCGCCCTTGGACTGGAAGCAGAGTTTCGTGGGCTGAAAGTTTTTTGGGAGAATCCTGACAAAGAGGTGCTGCCCTGTGCGGGCTTTTGTTGCGGTTTTGGATAGGCCGATTACGAGCTTTTGACCATCAGATGGACAAAAGCTGGGTCAATGTGCTGCATGCTCACCTGTCTATTGCTCTTGTTTTCTCTTGCAGGGTGCTTTGACCAGTCGCCTTCCCCGCGGCCAGACTCCCATGGACGTGCCCGCAACGGTGCAACGGGCCACGGGCTAAGTGGTGTGGGCGCAGAGTTCAGAGCACCCCCGAAATGGCTAGTTGGCCTGTGATAACCCTTCAGGCCAACCGCATCAGAGTTGAACACGAAACACACACCCAAGTTGACTCCGACCAAGTATCCCTGACACATGTCCGTCTTAAAACTGTAATCCGGAGTATTCTCTCAGCCAGCAAAACTGGGACCCATGATTGGTAGCTCGGGGTTGACTCATCTGGGTCGGATGACGGGATATTTTTGCAGCATCCCTTTCAAGGTCTACCCATTGCAAGGAGTTTTCCTCGTAAGCCCTGTAGAAAGTCTTTAAAACCATTTGATGTTTTCTGATTTTGGCTTACTTTCAAACCTTGAAAGCACCCGCTCCGCGAATCACCACCCAGTCGTCCCGCGGCGTCCCTTTGTTTTTTAGTGGCATCCCCGCTAAAGAAGCAGCCAACCCGAAAGCGCCGGTTCCCACGTTCCAATTTGGGTCGCCGGGCACCCCAGGCCGCGAGCGCCTTCCGCCGCCGCGTGCCTAAGAAGCCGGAGGCGGCAGTGTTGGGACACGCGGGCAAAAGAGGCTGCCTCGCTTTGACGGGCTTGAATCTAAGATGGTTTTCAGTGTTCCTCTAGGGAAGCTGGCATGTTTCTTTAACACATTTTCGCACATGCATACGTATATATGATGCACAAGCAGATGCACTAGAATGTGCACTCTCTCCCTCTCTCTTCCTCTGGATCGACACAAAAAAAAACACACAGTTTCGTGCCTTTGTAGAAAGAGCTGCATTGTGAACAAAGTAACACCAAACTGCTCGTAGGGTTTTGTTGGGAGTGGCCCCCGATCAATAAACCTCGCTGCTTGATCGGAAAAGGCAAGTCACAGAGACGAACGCTTTTACTTTCCAATTTCTGGCACCTGGCAACTGTGTTGGATCCCGGGCACCCGAAGAACAACTCTCAGACTCTGAGTTTAGGAAGGTCATTTAGACCTTTTTTTTTCCGCTGTGGGTTTGGGCATGAATAGCCTCTTTTCCTCAAGGTTGGCAAGTCTATCCTGGAGAAGTGTGTGTGTGTGTGTGTGTGTGTGCGTGTGTTCTGCTTTCGGATTGATGTTCTGATTTTCTCCAACTACCCGTCTCTAGTTTTTGAACATCATGAAGACACTGGGCCAGCCGGCAAGCATATGGAGACACTGGAGCAGCAGACCGTGGATCCAGGGGGTACCATGTATGTATATGTCGGTCTGTATAAAATATCGTCCCCGGCTCTGGAAGTTGTTGATGGGGGTATGATTCGGGGTATGATTCGGGGTCTGATTCGGGGTATGCTTCGGGGATATGATTCGAGATATGATTCGCGAGAAGAAACCAAATCCATGTTGGCACTTGCCCGTGTCTTGCTTTGCTTGAATGATTCGGTCACACGCGGCTTCGGGGTTTTGGTCACCGCTGGCCACGACACGGATCATTGCCAGGCTCGCGAGGTTGAGGCACCCGATGCACGTAAAGAGCATGCCAAGGCGCAGCCGCCTCTCGGCAGCTTACTACATGTTGCAAGACATAGCAAATTTCAAATTTGGTTTCTTGGGGATTTCTGGAACTTGGCGAAAACCAGCAGTGAGTGCGGTTTGGTTTGCGTGGAATGGCTTTCAGGAAGCATCGGCGCAAGTTGAGCGAAGAGACGCATGCTCAGTTGCCCTTTGCCACATGGACAATGTTCAGTCTATGTCCTTTTGTGGCCCTGTTGAAAGGAAACCGATCACTTGGATGGGGGTAGGTTTGAACCTCATGGAAGACATCGAACACCTCACAACAGAGGACAGAGGAAGAGTATTTCTGTCTGTTGCCGTTCAAGGTCGGGATATCGGTTGCAGCGGTTTCAATGTCGGTGCATGGTTGTATTGAGTGTGCTCGAATGCTTTGCCAGTCTCGAGCTTGTGCCGCACAGGGGAAGCTAGAGTTGTGGAGAGTTACGCAGATTGGGTCAAGCAGAAGTTCAGGAGCTGGTTTGGGGCATGTAAGGAAGGTCACGTGCATGTTCTGAAGTAGGCCGAGCATCGAAGCCAGAGCTGCCACGCGGGTGTGTGTGTGTGTGTGTGTGTGTGTGTGTGTGTGTGTGTGCGTGTGTGTGTGTGTGTGTGTGTGTGTGTGTGTGTGTGTGTGTGTGTGTGTGTATCACCCCCACCCCCGCCAAAGAGCATGTTTCGGATGTCCAGCATAGACAGTTTGGCAGCAGAAGGGCCGGCTGTCCATGCGCTCCACTGAGGCAAGCGCAAGAGAAGCAAGTGCAAGAGAAACAATCGCTGGAAGAGGTGGCGAGTGGTGATGAGTGCTGGCTGTGTACCAAGCCTGTACTTGAGATAGGTTGGCCAAGCAAAACCTAGGATTGATTTCGATGAGTCGGCGGACGAGTCGTGGTTTTTGAGCAATGTTGATGCTGCCATGCATGCCGACCTGCCAGGCCGAACGCAAGGCTCAGGAGGCTCAGGAGGCGCAGAAGAAGCTGGTGAGGCAACTGGAGCAGGAGTGTCCAGGCAGCACATGAGCTCCTTGACTTTCTTGCTGCTTTTGTCTGAGCAGCTCTGAGTAGCTGGCGTTTTGGGCTTGTTTGCCTCACTTGCCTCTGACTTTCCTCGCTTGCTACGCTTGCCTTGCATGCTCTTGCCTTGCGTGCTTGCTTTGATGCTTCACGTGTGTTGGTTGAACACTGGACCTCTGAGGCGGCTGCAAGCACAGCAGGCACTTGAAGAGGCACAGCTTGCATTCTGCTTTCGCAGCCTAGCTTGACGGGAGGCTTGTGCCGTCCTTGGTTGCTTCCATTTGGCCCCAGGTGCGAGCGGAAGCATCCATGGCCCGTGCGCAGGAAGCACATGCAAGGCAACAGTTCGAGTGGCCAGGCGGCAAGATTCGGCAGGATTGGATTGAGCCTTTGATGAAAAACGTGCGCCTTATGCGGTGGGTTCGTGCTGCGACGGCACAGGGAATGTTCAAAGACCACAGAGCCCGGCCGAGTTGTAGCAAAGCTTGTTTCATTTCCGGACTTTATCTTCTTTTTTTTTGAGTCGAGCTATTGTGCACATGTTGGGCTTTCGCAGTTTGGTCACTCAGGCAGCAGGGGCTTCCTTCGGCAAAATAAACAGAGATAGCCCTAATGTAAGCAAGGCGCATCGGGGCCTGCTGACGCCGCTTTTGCCTGTACTGAGGCAAGCGCAACAGAAGCACGTGCAAAAGGGACAAGTGCAAGAGAGACAAGCGCTCAAAGAGGCACAGAGTTATGATGAGTGCTGCACATTGCATGCGCGGCAAGACTTGTGTGCCGGGTTTGTTGCAGACCCAGGTTCTGTTGAGATGGTTCGGGCTAGCCACTGACAGTAGCTGGTGCTGACATGCATGAGTCAGCAGACGAGTGGCGGTCCCTGAGCACTGTGGGCAGGCCGAAAGCAAGGCTCAGGAGGCTCAAGAGGCGCAGAAGAAGCTGGTGAGGCAGCTGGAGCAGGAGTGGCCAGGCAGCAAGCAGCTGTAAACCAATCTTATTTGGGGCTTGTTGGCCCTTTGTCTGGCTTGCCCTTCTTGCCCCGCTTCCCTCGCTTTCCTTCGTTATTGTGATGAGCCACCTGTGTTGAATGAACACTGTACCTCTGAGGCGAGTGCACGCGCAGCAGGCACTTGAAGAGGCGCATACTCGGTCGATTTTTGGCAGGAGAACAGCTACCACTTTCCAACCATGTCCTGTGCCTTTTGGTGTTTGGTTTGCTTTTAACCTAGCTTGGCCGGACAGACGTGTGCCGTGCCTGGGTCTTCCCATCCGGCCCCAGCCGCGAGCGGAGGCATCCATGGCCCGTGTGCAGGAAGCACACGCAAGGCAGCAGTTTGAGTGGCCGGGCGGCAAGATGCGTCATTTTTGGATCAGGCCATTTGGGCCATGTGTTGAACCCATGGGCCGTTCGCGCGGGGACTTTGGTGTGAGAATCTGACTGGTAGAGCACAGAACAGATTCAAAGGCCCTAGTTTTGGGCCGAGGTTCTTGCGTGAAGCTTGCTTAAGGAGTGTTTACCAAATCACGCTGTTAAACGCAAGTCGGCTATATATGCAGTAGAGGCGTGTGGGGGCTGGTGAATCATCGCTTTGTTGCAATCCAGGCGCATATGGGCCGGCTGTGTGTGCTTTTGTCTTGACTGAGGCAAGCGCAAGAGAAGCAAGCCCAAGAGACACAAGGGCAAGAGAGACGAGGTCTGAAAGAGGCACAGAGTTATGATGAGTGCTGCTGCACATTACACGCGAGACCTGTGTGCCGAGTTTGTTGCAGACCCAGGTTCTGTTGAGATGGTTCGGGCTAGCCACTGACAGTAGCTGGTGCTAACATGCATGAGTCAGCAGACGAGTGGCGGTCCCTGAGCACTGTGGGCAGGCCGAAAGCAAGGCTCAGGAGGCTCAAGAGGCGCAGAAGAAGCTGGTGCGGCAGCTGGAGCAGGAGTGGCCAGGCAGCAAGCAGCTGTAAACCAATCTTATTTGGGGCTTGTTGGCCCTTTGTCTGGCTTGCCCTTCTTGCCCCGCTTCCCTCGCTTTCCTTCGTTATTGTGATGAGCCACCTGTGTTGAATGAACACTGTACCTCTGAGGCGAGTGCACGCGCAGCAGGCACTTGAAGAGGCGCATACTCGGTCGATTGTTGGCAGGAGAACAGCTACCACTTTCCAACCATGTCCTGTGCCTTTTGGTGTTTGGTTTGCTTTTGACCTAGCTTGGCCGGACAGACGTGTGCCGTGCCTGGGTCTTCCCATCCGGCCCCAGCCGCGAGCGGAGGCATCCATGGCCCGTGTGCAGGAAGCACACGCAAGGCAGCAGTTTGAGTGGCCGGGCGGCAAGATGCGTCATTTTTGGATCAGGCCATTTGGGCCATGTGTTGAACCCATGGGCCGTTCGCGCGGGGACTTTGGTGTGAGAATCTGACTGGTAGAGGCACAGAACACATTCAAAGGCCCTAGTGTTGGGCCGAGGTTCTTGCGTGAAGCTTGCTTAAGGAGTGTTTACCAAATCACGCTGTTAAACGCAGGTCGGCTATATATGGCAGTAGAGGCGTTTGGGGGCTGGTGAATCATCGCATCTGGGCCGGCTGTGTGTGCTTTTGCCTTGACTGAGGCAAGCGCAAGAGAAGCAAGCCCAAGAGACACAAGTGCAAGAGAGACGAGCGCTGAAAGAGGCACAGAGTTATGATGAGTGCTGCTGCACATTACACGCGAGACCTGTGTGCCGAGTTTGTTGCAGACCCAGGTTCTGTTCAGATGGGTCGGGCTAGCCACTGACAATAGCTGGTGCTGACATGCATGAGTCAGCAGACGAGTGGCGCTCCCTGAGCACTGTGGGCAGGCCGAAAGCAAGGCTCAGGAGGCTCAAGAGGCGCAGAAGAAGCTGGTGAGGCAGCTGGAGCAGGAGTGGCCAGGCAGCAAGCAGCTGTAAGCAGATCTTCTTTGAGACTTGTTGGCCGTCTGAGGCGAGTGCACGCTCAGCAGGCACTTGAAGAGGCACATACTCGGTCGATTGGCGGGAGAGAAATCTACCGCTTTCCATCCCTGTCCTGTGCCTTTGGTGTTTGGTTTTTTCAACCTAGCTTGGTCAGACAGACGTGTGCCGTGCCCTGGGTCTTCCCATCTGGCCCCAGCCGCGAGCGGAGGCATCCATGGCCCGTGCGCAGGAAGCACACGCAAGGCAGCAGTTCGAGTGACCGGGCGGCAAGATGCGTCAATTTTGGATCAGGCCATTTGGGCCATGTGTTGAACCCATGGGCCGTTCGCGCGGGGACTTTGGTGTGAGAATCTGACTGGTAGGGCACAGAACACATTCGAAGGCCCTAGTTTTGGGCTGAGGTTCTTGCGTGAAGCTTGCTTGAGGAGTGTTTACCAAATAACGCTGTTAAACGCAAGTCGGCTATATATGGCAGTAGAGGCGTGTGGGGGCTGGTGAATCATCGCTTTGTTGCAATCCAGGCGCATATGGGCCGGCTGTGTGTGCTTTTGTCTTGACTGAGGCAAGCGCAAGAGAAGCAAGCCCAAGAGACACAAGTGCAAGAGAGACGAGGTCTGAAAGAGGCACAGAGTTATGATGAGTGCTGCTGCACATTACACGCGAGACCTGTGTGCCGAGTTTGTTGCAGACCCAGGTTCTGTTGAGATGGTTCGGGCTAGCCACTGACAATAGCTGGTGCTAACATGCATGAGTCAGCAGACGAGTGGCGGTCCCTGAGCACCCTGGGCAGGCCGAAAGCAAGGCTCAGGAGGCTCAAGAGGCGCAGAAGAAGCTGGTGAGGCAGCTGGAGCAGGAGTGGCCAGGCAGCAAGCAGCTCCAAGCAGATCTTCTTTGGGGCTTGTTGGCCTTTTGCCTTGCTTTCCTTTGTTTTTCTTGTTTATTGTAATGAGCCACTTGTGTTGATTGAACACTGTACCTCTGAGGCGAGTGCACGCGCAGCAGGCACTTGAAGAGGCACATACTCGGTCGATTGGCGGGAGAGAAATCTACCGCTTTCCATCCCTGTTCAGTGCCTTTTGGTGTTTGGTTTTTTCAATCAAGCTTGTTCGGACAGACGTGTGCCGTGCCTGGGTCTTCCCATCCGGCCCCAGCCGCGAGCGGAGGCATCCATGGCCCGTGCGCAGGAAGCACACGCAAGGCAGCAGTTCGAGTGACCGGGCGGCAAGATGCGTCAATTTTGGATCGAGCCATTTGGGCCATGTGTTGAACCCATGGGCCGTTCGCGCGGGGTCTTTGGTATGAGAATCTGACTGGTAGAGGCATAGATCACATTCAAAGGCCATAATTTTGGGCCCAGCTTCTTACGTGAAGGCTGTTAAACAAAAGTCAGGCTACATGGCAGTAGAGGCATTTTGGGGCTGGTGAATCATAGTTTTGTTGCAATCCAGGCGCATCTGGCCGGCTGTTTGTGCGTTTGCCTTGACTGAGGCAAGCGCAAGAGAAGCAAGCGCAAGAGACACAAGTGCAAGAGAGACGAGCGCTGAAAGAGGCACAGAGTTATGATGAGTGCTGCTGCACATTACACGCGAGACCTGTGTGCCGAGTTTGTTGCAGACCCAGGTTCTGTTCAGATGGGCCGGGCTAGCCACTGACAATAGCTGGTGCTGACATGCATGAGTCAGCAGGCGAGTGGCAGTCCCTGAGCACTGTGGGCAGGCCGAAAGCAAGGCTCAGGAGGCTCAAGAGGCGCAGAAGAAGCTGGTGAGGCAGCTGGAGCAGGAGTGGCCAGGCAGCAAGCAGCTGTAAGCAGATCTTCTTTGGGGCTTGTTGGCCTTTTGCCTGGCTTGCCCTTGCCCCGCTTCCCTCGCTTTCCTTGTTTCTTGTCATGGGCCACCTGTGTTGATTGCACACTGTAACCTCTGAGGCGAGTGCACGCGCAGCAGGCACTTGAAGAGGCGCATACTCGGTCGATTGTTGGCAGGAGAACAGCTACCACTTTCCAACCATGTCCAGTGCCTTTTGGTGTTTGGTTGTGTTTTAACCTAGCTTGGCCGGACAGACGTGTGCCGCGCCTGGGTCTTCCCATCCGAGTTAGGGCAGGCCATGCGCAACTTTTTTCGAACTCAAAAGTCTAGGGTCCACCCTAGGGTTTTTTGCATTTTTTGAATAAGCGCCCCAAAACAACCATTTTAAAACATATTTTGAAACAGTCTAAACACATTTTGATAAATATTTTTTTATTACAGCATACCAAAACAACAGTTGAATTATTTTTTGAAAAATTCAATACACCTAAACATTTTCATTTTCAAAAACATACATTTTCCAAAATATTTTAGAAAATACATTTTGTTCAAAAGAGATAAATATATATAGCATTTTAAGAAGAATTATTCAATAAGAAACAACATTTTCAATAATTCAATGAGGAGACTTAATAATTAATCATTTTTCAAAATGTTGATATTCCGAAGTTGCGTGTGGTGTCCCTTGTAGGATTTTATCTTCAATATATAAAACGCTATACTTACATTATAATTATAACATATAAGGGTATACATGTTATTATTATAGTATGATTATAAACATTTAAACATCGGGGCTGTATTTCATTTTGCATTCGTGTTTATTTTTTATTATAATGGCATATAGTTCTTGATAATGTTTGACTGGACTGAAGCCAGCCTTTCTAAATAATTCTTTGATGTTTAACTCTGTTGTTGATTGTACATTATAATACTGTAAATGAAAAACATAAATACGTTTCATTAAATTATATCTTTGTTTAGACATTTTAGGAAAACTACTTTTATCTGGAAATTTACATTGTATAACAAACAACCAGTTTTTTATATTTGCATTGTTCAAGAATTCGACATTATGATTTTGAACACATTCAATCTCACGAATTGGTTCTTCTCTTCTTTGACAGAAAATACATTTATAAGTAAATTTGTAAATATGATTTAATATATTATTTGGTAAATTTATGTGTCCAATGTCTCTATATCTGTTATGATTTACATTTACACACATCACATTTATTTTTGAGTTCTTGTTTAGTGTCATTTACTACAACAATATCTAAGAATTTATTACTAATTTCTTCTTGCTCTTTCTCTGTAAATTCAACCATTTCTATTATAATATATATAGTGTTTATTTCTTTAAATACTTTTTTTACACGAAACAGAATTATATATTGAAATATAATTATAACATATAAGGGTATAAATGTTATAATCATAGTATGGTTGTATTATTCAGGTTCATGAATAATTAGTTTAAACCTTATGTTTTTTACTCCTACAATATTCATTATATTCCTTCCATTATCAATATTTCTACATATTGTTGCAACTGCGAATTCCATTACATCAGTTATATTATTTTGGTCTATAGAACCCATTAAGTGACTACCACTATGAAAATCAAAACCATAACTGCTATATTCATCATCCTCAAAATAATGAAAATGATGAAACCTTACACATAAATCTACATCAACTATTATTATTGCTTTATAACTTTCATATCCTACATACTTATCTATTAAGCTATCTATTTCATCCCCTTCTTTCATAACTATATCTTCAATACTTTCAATGCTTAATGGAACCTTCCTAGAAACATAATATTGAAATATTTGTCTCTTTACCTTATCACCATCTAAATTATTACAGTGCCTTGTTTTTCTTTCTATGTCAGTTCTGTCAATTTTATATCTTCCTTGTATTCTCTTCAATGTTTCATTATGATTATGCTTTATTTTCATATATTCTGGCTTGCCATATTTATAGGACATAATATTATTACTAACTTCAACTGGTAGTTTTTGAAACTCCATTTCTATTATAATATATATAGTTTTTATTTCTTTAAATACATTTTACAAGACATATTTAAATATTATTTAAATTATTATCATTTACAGCTACAATTGCACCTAACACAGTAAGGAATAATATTATTCAGTTCGTGCGACAACTCGTTTGATTTACGTTGCGCTGTCAGATTTGTCATTATATTACCGTTTTTAATATCCATAGAAAAACCGCATCCGCAGTAATTACATTGATTAGTGATATTATTTAAAAACCATTGCGCATTTACATAACCTTCTTTAGGTATTGTTCTTTTGGCTTTTTCTGTCTTGTTCTTTGTAATTCAATATTTTCCTTTCAAAATAACTCATAATACATTTTTGATTAAATACATCATCAATATCTTTCGTATATTTATAAAATTTCACTTTGTTTAAATCTCTACACCTTGTAATTGCTGTCCATATCCATTCTGGATAATTCTTTACCAAAAAATGGTTATAATCAAAAATTGTTATGGTATCATCAATGCTACTGCCTTGGGCAGAATGACATGTCGAGCAATATGCAAATATAAAATTACTTCTTATTTTATCAACTGACAAAGACTGTAAAATTTCAGTTTTAACATTTTTCAACGTAACAATTCCATCGCTTCCAATATGAACAATTTTATATTTGAAATTTACATTAAACACTGATGTTTTAGTTGTTGTATATTCTCTACAAATTAAAAATTCTCCTACTTCATATTCATCTTTTCTATTTTCTAATTTTCTAATTTCGTTTGATACATTTTTACAAGTTGTATTTAAAAATGCTATATTATTTTTTGACCCGCTAATATCTGTTGTATATGTAAAATATTTTTCAATAATTGTTTTAATAGGTAGTTTGTAAATAAAAATATCATTGTAAATGTTTTTGAGTTTGATTTTGTCATCTGCATTGCTAAGTCTTTTACATTCTTTCAACAAAATGTTATATTCAAAAATATGATTAACTATATTATCAGTGTATGTTTCATAATCCTGAGTGTTGGTTATTTCTTGAACTGGTTTTAATTGCTTGGCGTCTCCTGTTGCTATTATAATTTTGTTGTGCTTATTCTGCTCTACAAATTGTTTTATTCTCCAGTATGTATTTAAATTACTAAAATAAACTTCATCAAATACTATAACGTCGGAATCTGTAAAATCAAATGGTTCTAATTTAACATCTCCATAATTTATACCAAATAATTTATTTTTAGTCATTGCTTCTCCTTCAAATGCCTGCAGTAATTTGTTAGTAGGTGTTACAAAAATTACTTTATAACCCTTATCTACCATTTTTTGACATATATATGATTTTCCTGTGCCGGGCACTTCTCCCCTAATCATCATAATATTGTGCTCTTTAATAATTTCAATAATATTATCTGTGTCATATTCATCTACAATATCAATAGTTTTACTTTCATAAACTGGTATTTGTATTAATTCGTTTTGTGAAACTTCATAGTCTACAGTAGGAAATTTAATAGATTCGTCATTTGAAACTCGCCAACCTCCTATTTCATTATTAAAGATTAAAAGCTCTCTTGCTTTTGTTATATCCGATCGCTGTATTACAAATGCATCTGTTTCGACGCTAAATACATTAATACCATTTTGATGTAATTTAGAATAATCTTGATACATTCTAAAATTATGATATTGAAGTAGTAATTCTTTTACATACCTAAAACCATTCCTTAAGCGTGATGTATCCTTTAAATTAAGTATATAATATGACGCCTGTTCTTCTTCTGCTGTATAATGTTCTTCATCTACTGTAATTTGTTCTGTCGTGAAATGTGTTAATTTATGTATTTTACCTCCATACTCTGCCTGATAGTTTAAAGCTTCCTTAAGACTTTTAAACACTGTGCTCTTCTGATCAGTTGCTCCCCCTTTTTCTAAAAGCCCATAATTAACATTTGCGATCAGTTTTTTTATACATTTATCTTCTTCATTGTCTTCGCTGATGGTTGTGTTCCAAAGTTCATTAACAATATTTTTATAATCGACTTTGTGAATAAATGAAGGTTGTTTAAAGCATAAAATATTAATTCGTTCTCTTGTCATGTTATCTAATTTGGTCATCTTCATTGATGACTTTAATAGTTATTTTTTTCACTTGTAATGAAATAAAATAAATCACATCATCCGAACTACTTGCATACGCTAATTTAACTTTATGAATATCTTTATTAAGAAAATAATAAATATCAAATAAATTAATTGATATTAACGTTCGATTACAAACATTAAACCAACGAGTAAACAAGTTATATGTAGCAATTACATCGTATTCAATAAATAATTTTAATGGTTTATTTTTGTTTATGGAATGTATCTAACTCACTTAAATTAAAAATATATGATATTCCATTATTAATATTAATATTATCAATTTCAATATAATGTATGTTATTTAATGTGTAAGACTTATATACTGGTTTATATTTATTAATATAATTTTTAACAATATTGCTATTTTTTTTTTTAAAATAATCTAACATCACCTAAATTATAAGATAATACAAGGTTTTTAATTTCTATTGGTAAATCATAAAATATCATATAATATCATATATTTAATTATTTAATTATTTAATTATTTAATTAGTAATTTTCAAATATTGAGAACGCTTTTTCATAACCATTTTATCTGGGTTCTTTTCTAAAAGGTTAATATATTAAAAAAAACACTATGCGGTTCATCAGTGGCAGTCTCATATATTTTATAAATTAGTTTCTTGCTTTCATGTAAATTATCGCTTCTAACAATTGCTGATAATTCATCTTGCAATATTTCTATCTCTTTAAACTTTCTAACTTTATAATAAAACAAATGACTTATATTTACCCTAATAATTGGTGGTACGGTTGATGATTTTTGAAGACTGACACGTGTTGATATTCCACTATGACGACCTCTACAAAATAAAGAATTTAACAATTTGTTATTTCTTGTTATTGCTGGATTTTCAGATACATCATCCAATATAACTAATATATTAAATAACTTCTTCATTCCTTGTTTTTTCTGATATTCAATTATTTTATTTTGAGTTTCTATAACTCTTTCTAAATCTTCAACATTGAACTCATCCCACCAACACGGTTCTTTATCATTATCTACTTTCAAACCTTCCTTAATGTATTTCTTCACTGGCAACCAAATACTATCCAAATTTACAGATGGAGACCAGATAAAAATTCTTTCAAATGCTCCTCTATAAATATCAAGTATCATTGATACAAGTAAAGTTGATTTTCCACTTCCAGATGGTCCGACAATCATAGCTCTCATAGGCAATTTAGGGACAACCTCATGCTTACTTTGCTTAAAGTCGTATTTGATTTCATCAATTGGTTTTACATCAGGCATAATAAAAATAATATTATAAATACGTATAAATAAAAAATATAATATAATTATATCATAATGTCAAGAGAATCTATTGATTTAAGTGAAGTGGCTAGTATCCGGACTATATATAAATTTGGTGATATCTTAGTTCCAGATACTGGCCAACTATATTATGATACGATTTTATTGTTTTTATCGACAATTAAAAAACAAAATATTATAATATCTAAATCATCAATCGAAAACGAGGATACCCAAAATTATAATAAATTAGTAAATTTTATGAAAGATTATTCCTATATATATATACAAATGACATGATAAATAGTGTACAAGAAATTATTAATAATACTATTCTAGATGTTAGTATATCAACTGCAGTAAAACTTACTAAAGAAAATAGTTTAAATAACTATTCTATTTAATATTAATGGACGCGAGGAACGAGCCTCGCGTGCTAACGCGACCATCGTTTTATGATATGCTGGTGGCGAATATCATAAAATGGAACAGGTTTTCCATTGCTACAATCAATAAGCATTGAAGCTAATTAGTTTGATGCGTTGTAAAGAAAACCCCAGTGCTGAGCCCCACCAATATTCTATTATGCATGAAAATAATAAGATTAAATAACTATTTTATCTTATTATTTATATGAATACGAGTTATTCAGATTATATTGATATAATAAATGAAGTAGACAATATAGAACGGGTTGTCATAACTGATAATAGATGTAAAATCATATGTTATTTTATTTTAGAATTAATTAAGTTTTTGATACAATATATTAAAAATATAAATATTAATATAAATGGGAAACAAGAAAAACAGAAAGAATAAAACAGATACTACAGTTTCTTCAACTGATGAAGAAAAAGAAGAAATTGTTAAAGAAACAGCAGTAATTGAGTTTTCTTGTCCGATGTGTAAAAGGGTGTTAGAGATGAAAAATGAATTAGAAATAAAAAATAATAAAAAATGTAAATGTTCATGTATTCCAACAAGTTTCAAAATAAGTAAAAATGATAAGAAAATGAATATTGATAAAACTAAAGACAGTATCAACATAGAAACTGATGTCCATAGTATAACTTTTAAATGGGGTAAGGATGCATCACTCTCTGAAAATGGTGATAAGGAAACTCAGGAAACTATTAAACAAATCATGAAAAATTAGTATTTAAAGAGTAGATTTAACATAATTGCACTTTATAAATATATATAATTAAATATATAGATAAATATCTAATTATTTATATAATCATAATGCCAACTATGAATGGAGAAGACCATAGAATTATAACTTTTGACGATGAAGAAATTAAAGACCTATTCAATGGTGATGAAAACTTTGCTAAACAATTGAGTGAAGAATATTTTTATTGGTTTGATGCTAAATTCAGTGATCAATATTTTATGAAAGGTATAACTAAACCAGATAACTTTGGTAAAATATTGAAATTTTTTGAAATTACAGGTGACGAGGAAGGTTTGATACAAATGAAAAATAAAATTGATGAAAGACTCTTAGAATATAATTTATTTACATATATAACATTAAATTATTCAGGACAATTGTATAATTAAATAAATAATTATCTAAATAAATATATAGTAATGTCTGAAAATGAGAATTATACTATTAATGATTTAATGAAGAAGATAACATTAATTGGTAAAACTATCAAAACCTTAAATGATATGATTAAATCCATTGATGACAAAATGAAACCAGTTGAACGCGAACAACAAAGCAACGAAGAGAAGGAGAAAATCGAAAAGATATTTCAAGCAAAATCTATAGGAAGACCAACGGGTGATTATCCTACAAAGCAAAATAAATATTGTGGTATGTTGAATACAGGAAAAATCAAGCAACCAAAGCAACAAACATTAGACTATTATAAAATTTCAAAAAATGATGATGGAGTATATGCATTATTTGAATAATTAATATCTAAATAATTCTAATAAATGAATTTATTAGAATTATTTAGCAAAAAGACCTATATAAAATACCTAGCGAATTAATTTGTGAAATCTTGGTGAGTTTGAATTAGGGGGTTCTTCACAGCAAGCTGAAACTCAACATGTTGATGCTGTTTTCTGAGCATGCTGATGCTGTTGTTTCGTGCGTGCTGATGCTGTTTTCTGAGCATGCTGATGCTGTTGTTTCGTGCGTGCTGATGCTGTTTTCTGAGCATGCTGATGCTGTTGTTTCGTGCGTGCTGATGCTGTTTTCTGAGCATGCTGATGCTGTTGTTTCGTGCGTGCTGATGCTGTTTTCTGAGCATATTATTACTTGAATATAAGATAGATTACAACCATACTATAATAATAGCATTTATACCCTTATATGTTATAATTATAATGTAAGTATAGCGTTTTATATATTGAAGATAAAATCCTACAAGGGACACCACGCGCAACTTCGGAATATCCAAATTTTGAAAAATGATTAATTATTAAGTCTCCTCATTGAATTATTGAAAATGTTGTTTCTTATTGAATAATTCTTCTTAAAATGCTATATATATTTATCTCTTTTGAAAAAATATATTTTCTAAAATATTTTGGAAAATGTATGTTTTTGAAAATGAAAATGTTTAGGTGTATTGAATTTTTCAAAAAATAATTCAACTTTTGTTTTGGTATGCTGTAATAAAAAAATATTTATCAAAATGTGTTTAGACTGTTTCAAAATATGTTTTAAAATGGTTGTTTTGGGGCGCTTATTCAAAAAATGCAAAACACCCTAGGGTGGACCCTAGACTTTTGAGTTCGAAAAAAGTTGCGCATGGCCTGCCCTAACTATCCGGCCCCAGCCGCGGGCGGAGGCATCCATGGCCCGTGCGCAGGAAGCACACGCAAGGCAGCAGTTCGAGTGGCCGGGCGGCAAGATGCGTCACTTTTGGATCGGGCCATTTGGGCCATGTGTTGCACCCATGGGCCGTTCGCGCGGGGACTTTGGTGTGACGATCTGCCTGGTAGAGGCACAGAACACAACAAGACAAAGAATCGGACCGACTTTTTCAGGTGAAGCTTGCTTTGAGAGTGTTGAACACAAGTCGGTCTACACGGTAGTAGAGGCGATTTAGGGGTGATTAATCATAGTTTTGATGCATTCCAGGCGCATCTGGACAAGCTGTTTGCGCTTTTGCCTCAACTGAGGCAAGCGCAAGAGAAGCAAGTGCAAGAGACACAAGTGCAAGATAGACGAGCTCTGAAAGAGGCACAGAGTTGTGATGAGTACTGCTGCACATTACATGCGAGACCAGTGTGCCGCGTTTGTTGCAGACCCAGGTTCTGTTCAGATGGGTCGGGCTAGCCACTGACAATAGCTGGTGCTGGCAGGCCGAAAGCAAGGCTCAGGAGGCTCAAGAGGCGCAGAAGAAGCTGGTGAGGCAGCTGGAGCAGGAGTGGCCAGGCAGCAAGCAGCTGTAAGCAGATCTTCTTTGAGACTTGTTGGCCGTCTGAGGCGAGTGCACGCTCAGCAGGCACTTGAAGAGGCACATACTCGGTCGATTGTTTGCAGGAGAACAGCTTCCGCTTTCCAACCATGTCCAGTGCCTTTTGGTGTTTGGTTGTTTTGCAACCTGGCTTGGTCGGACAGACGTGTGCGTGCCTGCGTCTCCCCATCCGGCCCCAGCCGCGAGCGGAGGCATCCATGGCCCGTGCGCAGGAAGCACACGCAAGGCAGCAGTTCGAGTGGCCGGGCGGCAAGATGCGTCATTGTTGGATCGAGCCATTTGGGCCATGTGTTGAACCCATGGGCCGTTCGCGCGGGGTCTTTGGTATGAGAATCTGACTGGTAGAGGCATAGATCACATTCAAAGGCCATAGTTTTGGGCCCAGCTTCTTACGTGAAGCTTGCTCAGAGAGTGTTTTGCCAAATCACGCTGTTAAACACAAGTCAGGCTACATGGCAGTAGAGGCATTTTGGGGCTGGTGAATCATAGTTTTGATGCAATCCAGGCGCATGTGGCCGGCTGTTTGTGCTTTTGCCTTGACTGAGGCAAGCGCAAGAGAAGCAAGCCCAAGAGACACAAGTGCAAGAGAGACGAGCGCTGAAAGAGGCACAGAGTTATGATGAGTGCTGCTGCACATTACATGCGAGACCAGTGTGCCGCGTTGGTTGCAGACCCAGGTTCTGTTCAGATGGGTCGGGCTAGCCACTGACAATAGCTGGTGCTGACATGCATGAGTCAGCAGGCGAGTGGCAGTCCCTGAGCACTGTGGGCAGGCCGAAAGCAAGGCTCAGGAGGCTCAAGAGGCGCAGAAGAAGCTGGTGAGGCAGCTGGAGCAGGAGTGGCCAGGCAGCAAGCAGCTGTAAGCAAGTCTTCTTTTGGGGCTTGTTGGCCTTTTGCCTGTCTTGCCCTTGCCTCGCTTCCCTCGCTTTCCTTGTTTCTTGTCATGGGCCACCTGTGTTGATTGCACACTGTAACCTCTGAGGCGAGTGCACGCGCAGCAGGCACTTGAAGAGGCGCATACTCGGTCGATCGTTGGCAGGAGAACAGCTACCACTTTCCAACCATGTCCTCGGACAGACGTGTGCCGTGCCTGGGTCTTCCCATCCGGTCCAGCCGCGAGCGGAGGCATCCATGGCCCGTGTGCAGGAAGCACACGCAAGGCAGCAGTTCGAGTGGCCGGGCGGCAAGATGCGGCAAGATTGGATCGGGCCATGTGGGCCATGTGTTGAACCCATGGGCCGTTCTCGCGGGATCTTTGGTGTGAGAATCTGACTGGTAGAGGCACAGAACACATTCAAAGGCCATAGTTTTGGGCCCAGCTTCTTACGTGAAGCTTGCTCAGAGAGTGTTTTGCCAAATCACGCTGTTAAACACAAGTCAGGCTACATGGCAGTAGAGGCATTTTGGGGCTGGTGAATCATAGTTTTGATGCAATCCAGGCGCATCTGGCCGGCTGTTTGTGCTTTTGCCTCTACTGAGGCAAGCGCAAGAGAAGCAAGCCCAGAAGACACAAGCGCAAGAGAGACGAGCGCTGAAAGAGGCACAGAGTGATGATGAGTGCTGCTGCACATTACATGCGAGACCTGTGTACCGAGTTTGTTGCAGACCCAGGTTCTGTTCAGATGGGTCGGGCTAGCCACTGACAATAGCTGGTGCTGACATGCATGAGTCAGCAGGCGAGTGGCGGTCCCTGAGCACTGTGGGCAGGCCGAAAGCAAGGCTCGGGAGGCTCAAGAGGCGCAGAAGAAGCTGGTGCGGCAGCTGGAGCAGGAGTGGCCAGGCAGCAAGCAGCTGTAAGCAAGTCTTCTTTGGGGCTTGTTGGCCTTTTGCCTGGCTTGCCCTTCTTGCCCTGCTTCCCTCGCTTTCCTTCGTTATTGTGATGAGCCACCTGTGTTGATTGTACGCTGTACCTCTGAGGCGAGTGTACGCGCAGCAGGCACTTGAAGAGGCACATGCTCGGTCGATTGGCGGGAGAACAGCTGCCGCTTTCCAACCATGTCCGCTGCCTTTTGGTGTTTTGTGTTGTTCTTGCAACCTAGCTTGGCCGGACAGACGTGTGCCGTGCTGGGTCTTCCCACCCGTCCCCAGCTGCGAGCGGAGGCATCCATGGCCCGTGCGCAGGAAGCACATGCAAGGCAGCAGTTCGAGTGGCCGGGCGGCAAGATGTTTCAAATTTGCATCGGGCCATTTGAGCCGTGTGTCGAACCCATCTGCCGTTGCGACAATTTGACTACGCGGCACATTCAGGGGCCAAAGCGTTGGGCTGAGTTGTTCAGGTGAAGCTAGCTTCATTTCAACACTGTGTTGATGTGAAGCAGTTGTGCAGAAGTTTTTGTTTGTCAATCTTGGGCACACGGGCTGTAAGGGGCAGGTGAAACAAACATAGTCTTGATGCAAGCAAGGCACATTGTGGCCAGCTTTATGCGCTCTCGCCTGTACCGAGGAATTCGCAAAAGAAGCACGTGCAAGAAGGACAAGTGCAAGAGAGACAAGCATGGAAAGAGGCACAGAGAGTCCTGACATTACGTGCAAGATCTGCATGCTGGGTTCTGTTGAGACGGGTCGGAATAGCTGGTGCTGATATGCAGGCGTCAGCAGGTGAGTCACGGTCCCTGGGCAACGTGTTCAGGCCGAAAGCAAGGCTCAGGAGGCTCAAGAGGCTCAGGAGGCGCAGAAGAAGCTGGGGAGGCAACTGGAGCAGGAGTGTCCCGGCAGCAGCGCTAAGCAGATGTTATTGGGGCTTGTATGCCTACTGTCATGCTTGGCTTGCTTGCCTCGCTTTCCTGGTTTTCCTCGCTTCCCTCGCTTTCCTTGATTGCCACTGGACCTCTAAGGCGACTGCAAGCGCAGCAGGCACTTGAAGAGGCACATACTCGGTCGATTGGCGGGAGAACAGCTACCACTTTCCAACCATGTCCAGTGCCGTTTGGTGTTTGGTTTTTTCACCCTAGCTTGGTCGGACAGACGTGTGCCGTGCCTGGGTCTTCCCATCTGGCCCTAGCCGCGAGCGGAGGCATCCATGGCCCGTGCGCAGGAAGCACACGCAAGGCAGCAGTTCGAGTGGCCAGGCGGCAAGATGCGGCAGAATTGAAATGATTGATTGAGTCTTTGGTGGAAAGCATCTGCCTTTCGCGGTGGGTTGGTGCTGTGACGATCTGATGGGAAGACGCACAGAGAATGTTCAAAGACCACAAGCCCGGCCGAGTTGCAGTACGGCTTCTCTAGGCTTTCGAAGTTTCGGACACTCAAGCAGCTGGGGCTTTCTTCAGCTGACCAAGCAAAGATAGCTCTAATGTAAGCAATGCGCATCGGGACCAGCTGATTGCACTTTTGCCTATACTGAGGCAAGCGCAAGAGAAGCAAGCGCACGAGAGACAAGCGCAAGAGAGACGAGCGCAGGCAGAGGCACCAAGGGATGATGAGTGCCGGACACTACATGAGAGAGCGAGTGCTGCGTTGCAGACCCAGATTCTATTGAGAATGCAGACAGTTCGCCCTGGCAAAAACTGTTTCTGATATGCATGAGTTGGCAGTCTTGTCACGGTCCCTGGGCATTGTGGGCAGGCCGAAAGCAAGGCTCAGGAGGCTCAGGAGGCGCAGAAGAAGCTGGGGAGGCAACTGGAGCAGGAGTGACCCGGCAGCAGCGCTAAGCAGATTTTATTGGGGCTTGTATGCCTACTGTCATGCTTGGCTTGCTTGCCTCGCTTTCCTGGTTTTCCTCGCTTCCCTCGCTTTCCTTGATTGCCACTGGACCTCTAAGGCGACTGCAAGCGCAGCAGGCACTTGAAGAGGCACATACTCGGTTGACTTTGGCAGGAGAACAGCTGCCGCTTTCCAACCATGTCCAGTGCCTTTTGGTGTTTGTGGTTGTTTTTCACCCTAGCTTGGTCGGACAGACGTGTGCCGTGCCCTGGGTCTTCCCATCCGGCCCTAGCCGCGAGCGGAGGCATCCATGGCCCGTGCGCAGGAAGCACACGCAAGGCAGCAGTTCGAGTGCCCAGGCGGCAAGATGCGGCAGAATTGAAATGATTGATTGAGTCTTTGGTGGAAAGCATCTGCCTTTCGCGGTGGGTTGGTGCTGTGACGATCTGATGGGAAGACGCACAGAGAATGTTCAAAGACCACAAGCCCGGCCGAGTTGCAGTACGGCTTCTCTAGGCTTTCGAAGTTTCGGACACTCAAGCAGCTGGGGCTTTCTTCAGCTGACCAAGCAAAGATAGCTCTAATGTAAGCAATGCGCATCGGGACCAGCTGATTGCGCTTTTGCCTATACTGAGGCAAGCGCAAGAGAAGCAAGCGCACGAGAGACAAGCGCAAGAGAGACGAGCGCAGGCAGAGGCACCAAGGGATGATGAGTGCCGGACACTACATGAGAGAGCGTGTGCTGCGTTGCAGACCCAGATTCTATTGAGAATGCAGACAGTTCGCCCTGGCAAAAACTGTTTCTGATATGCATGAGTTGGCAGTCTTGTCACTGTCCCTGGGCATTGTGGGCAGGCCAAAAGCAAGGCTCAGGAGGCTCAGGAGGCTCAGGAGGCGCAGAAGAAGCTGGTGAGGCAACTGGAGCAGGAGTGACCCAGCAGCAAGCAGATCTAAGAACTGTTATTTGGGTCTTTGCCTTGCTTGCCTTGCTTGCCTTGCTTGCTTTGCTTGCCTTCCTAGCTGCTCTCTCCTTCATTTTGATGGGTCGCCCGTGTTGCTTGAACAGTGGACCTCTGAGGCGACTGCACGCGCAGCAGGCACTTGAAGAGGCGCATACTCGGTGGATTGTTGGCAGGAGAACAGCTACCGCTTTCCAACCATGTCCAGGGCCTTTTGGTGTTTGGTTGTTTTGCAACCTAGCTTGGCGGGCCATAAGTTACGTGTGCCGTGCCTGGGTCTTCCCATCCTGCCCTAGCCGCGAGCGGAGGCATCCATGGCCCGTGCGCAGGAAGCACACGCAAGGCAGCAGTTCGAGTGGCCGGGCGGCAAGATGCGGCAAGTTTGATCGGACCATTTGGGCCATGTGTCAACTGTTAACCCATCCGCTGTTCGCACGGGGTCTGTGGTGCGACAATCTGACTGGTACAGGCACAGAACACATTCAGAGGCCAAAGCATTGAGCCGGGCTGCTGCTTTGAAGCTTGCTTCGCTTCATATCAGAACTGTGTTGATTTTCAACCGAAGCAGTCCTGCACAAGCTTTGCTTCATCAATGTTAGGCACACGGGCTGTAAGGGGCAGGTGAAACAAACATAGCCTTGATGCAAGCAAGGCACATGGGGGCCAGCGTTATGCGCTCTCGCCTGCACCGAGGAATTCGCAAAAGAAGCACGTGCAAGAGGGACAAGTGCAAGAGAGACAAGCGCTAAAAGAGGCACGGTGTTATGATGAGTGCTGCACATTGCATGCGCGGCGAGACTTGTTTGCCGGGTTTGTTACAGACCCAGGTTCTGTTGAGATGGGTCGGGCTAGCAAGCGGCAGTGCTGCCATGCATGAGTTAGCAAGCGAGTCACGGTTCCTGGGCACTGTGGGCAGGCTGAAAGCAGGGCTCAGGAGGCTCAAGAGGCGCAGAAGACGCTGGTGAGGCAACTGGAGCAGGAGTGGCCAGGCAGCAAGCAGCTGTAAGCAGATCTTCTTTGGGGCTTGTTGGCCTTTTGCCTTGCTTCCCTTGCTTTCCTTGGTTATTGTGATGAGCCACTTGTGTTGATTGAACACTGTACCTCTGAGGCGAGTGCACGCGCAGCAGGCAGTTGAAGAGGCACATACTCGGTCGATTGGCGGAAGAACAGCTACCACTTTCCAACCATGTCCAGTGCCGTTTGGTGTTTGGTTTTTTCAACCTAGCTTGGTCGGACAGACGTGTGCCGTGCCTCGGTCTTCCCATGCGGCCCCAGCCGCGAGCGGAGGCATCCATGGCCCGTGCGCAGGAAGCACACGCAAGGCAGCAGTTCGAGTGGCCGGGCGGCAAGATGTGTGTCAAATTTGGATCGGGCCATTTGGGCCGTGTGTCGAACCCATCCGCCATTGCGACAATTTGACTACGCGGCACATTCAGGGGCCAAAGCGTTCGGCCGAGTTGCTCAGGTGAAGCTTGCTTCATTTCAAAACTGTAAGCAGTCCTGCACAAGTTTTGCTTCGTCAATGTTGGGCACACAGGCTGTAAGGGGCAGGTGAAACAAACATAGTCTTGATGCAAGCAAGGCACATTGGGGCCAGCTTCATGCGCTCTCGCCTGTACCGAGGAATTCGCAACAGAAGCACGTGCAAGAGAGACAAGTGCAAGAGAGACAAGCACTGAAAGAGGCACAGAGAGTCCTGACATTACTTGCAAGATCTGCATGCTGGGTTCTGTTGAGACGGGTCGGGATAGCTGGTGCTGATATGCATGCGTCAGCAGGTGAGTCGCGTCCCTGGCGTGTTCAGGCCGAAAGCAAGGCTCAGGAGGCTCAGGAGGCGCAGAAGAAGCTGGGGAGGCAACTGGAGCAGGAGTGTCCCGGCAGCAGCGCTAAGCAGATGTTATTGGGGCTTGTATGCTTACTGTCATGCTTGGCTTGCTTGCCTCGCTTTGCTGGATTCCTGGTTTTCCTCGCTTCCCTCGCTTTCCTTGATGGCGACTGGACCTGCAAGGCGACTGCAAGCGCAGCGGGCACTTGAAGAGGCACATACTCGGTTGACTTTGGCAGGAGAACAGCTGCCGCTTTCCAACCATGTCCAGTGCCTTTTGGTGTTTGTGGTTGTTTTGCAACCTAGCTTGGTCGGACAGACGTGTGCCGTGCCCTGGGTCTTCCCATCCGGCCCTAGCCGCGAGCGGAGGCATCCATGGCCCGTGCACAGGAAGCACACGCAAGGCAGCAGTTTGAGTGGCCCGGCAGCAAGATGCGGCAGGATTGCATCTGCCTTTCGCGGTGACGATCTGATGGGAAGACGCACAGAGAATGTTCAAAGACCACAAGCCCGGCCGAGTTGCAGTACGGCTTCTCTAGGCTTTCGAAGTTTCGGACACTTAAGCAGCTGGGGCTTTCTTCAGCTGACCAAGCAAAGGTAGCTGTAATGTAAGCAATGCGAATCGGGACAAACTGACAAACTGATTTGCGCTTTTGCCTATACTGAGGCAAGCGCAAGAGAAGCAAGCGCACGAGAGACAAGTGCAAGAGAGACGAGCGCAGGAAGAGGCACCAAGGGATGATGAGTGCCGGACACTACATGAGAGAGCGTGTGCTGCGTTGCAGACCCAGATTCTATTTAGAATGCAGACAGTTCGCCCTGGCAAAAGCTGTTTCTGATATGCATGAGTTAGCAGTCTTGTCACGGTCCCTGGGCATTCTGGGCAGGCCGAAAGCAAGGCTCAGGAGGCTCAGGAGGCTCAGGAGGCGCAGAAGAAGCTGGTGAGGCAACTGGAGCAGGAGTGACCCAGCAGCAAACAGATCTAAGAACTGTTATTTGGGTCTTTGCCTTGCTTGCCTTGCTTGCCTTGCTTGCTTTGCTTGCCTTCCCAGCTGCTTTTTGATGGGTCGCCCGTGTTGCTTGAACAGTGGACCTGTGAGGCGACTTCAAGCGCAGCAAGCAGTTCAAGAGGCATATACTCGTCGACTTTGCACGATATTGTTTTTTTGCCTTCATTCTGTCTTTGACCCCTTTGGGATCGTTGGGGGTTGCATTGTTGCCTTGCAACCCAGCTTTGCTGGGCAGACGTGTGCCGTGCCTGGGTCCTTCCATCCGGCCCTAGCCGCGAGCGGAGGCATCCGTGGCCCGTGCACAGGAAGCACACGCTAGGCGGCAGTTCGAGTGGCCGGGCAGCAAGATGCGGCAGGATTGAAATGATTGAGTCTTTGGTGGAACGCATCTGCCTTTCGCGGTGGGTTGGTGCTGTGACGATCTGATGGGAAGACGCACAGAGAATGTTCAAAGACCACAAGCCCGGCCGAGTTGCAGTACGGCTTCTCTAGGCTTTCGAAGTTTCGGACACTTAAGCAGCTGGGGCTTTCTTCAGCTGACCAAGCAAAGATAGCTCTAATGTAAGCAATGCGCATCGGGACCAGCTGATTGCACTTTTGCCTATACTGAGGCAAGCGCAAGAGAAGCAAGCGCACGAGAGACAAGTGCAAGAGAGACGAGCGCAGGAAGAGGCACCAAGGGATGATGAGTGCCGGACACTACATGGGAGAGCGTGTGCTGCGTTGCAGACCCAGATTCTATTTAGAATGCAGACAGTTCGCCCTGGCAAAAGCTGTTTCTGATATGCATGAGTTAGCAGTCTTGTCACGGTCCCTGGGTATTGTGGGCAGGCCGAAAGCAAGGCTCAGGAGGCTCAGGAGGCTCAGGAGGCGCAGAAGAAGCTGGTGAGGCAACTGGAGCAGGAGTGACCCAGCAGCAAGCAGATCTAAGAACTGTTATTTGGGTCTTTGCCTTGCTTGCCTTGCTTGCTTTGCTTGCCTTCCCAGCTGCTCCCTCCTCGGTCATTTTGATGGATCGCCCGTGTTGCTTGAACAGTGGACCTCTGAGGCGACTGCACGCGCAGCAGGCACTTGAAGAGGCGCATACTCGGTGGATTGTTGGCAGGAGAACAGCTACCGCTTTCCAACCATGTCCAGGGCCTTTTGGTGTTTGGTTGTTTTGCAACCTAGCTTGGCGGGCCATAAGTTACGTGTGCCGTGCCTGGGTCTTCCCATCCTGCCCTAGCCGCGAGCGGAGGCATCCATGGCCCGTGCGCAGGAAGCACACGCAAGGCAGCAGTTCGAGTGGCCGGGCGGCAAGATGCGGCAAGTTTGATCGGACCATTTGGGCCATGTGTTAACCCATCCGCCGTCGGCGCGGGGTCTGTGGTGTGACAATCTGATCGGTACAGGCGCAGATCACATTCAGAGGACAAAGCATTGAGCCGGGCCGCTCCTTTGAAGCTTGCTTCGCTTCATATCAGAACTGTGTTGATTTTCAACCGAAGCAGTCCTGCACAAGTTTTGCTTCATCAATGTTATGCACGGGCTGTAAGGGGCAGGTGAAACAAACATAGCCTTGAAGCAAGCAAGGCACATGGGGGCCAGCTTTATGCGCTCTCGCCTGCACCGAGGAATTCGCAAAAGAAGCACGTGCAAGAGGGACAAGTGCAAGAGAGACGAGCGCTGAAAGAGGCACAGAGTTATGATGAGTGCTGCACATTGCATGCGCGGCAAGACTTGTGTGCCGGGTTTGTTGCACACCCAGGTTCTGTTGAGATGGTTCGGGCTAGCCACTGACAATAGCCTGTAGCGAGTCACGGTTCCTGGGCACTGTGGGCAGGCCGAAAGCAAGGTTCAGGAGGCTCAGGAGGCGCAGAAGAAGCTGGTGAGGCAACTGGAGCAGGAGTGGCCAGGCAGCACATGAGCTCCTTGACTTTCTTGCTGCTTTTGTCTGAGCAGCTCTAGGAAGCTGTCGTTTGGGGCTTGTTTGCCTTTCGCCTTGCCTGCCTCGCTTTCTTCTGACTTCCTTCACTTGCTTCCCTTGCTTCTTCGCTTGCTTTCTTTGCTTGCTCGCTCGCTTGCTTGCGTGCGTGCTTGCTTGCTTGCTTGCTTCGATGGGTCGCCTGTGTTGGTTGAACAGTGGACCTCTGAGGCGACTGCAAGCGCAGCGGGCACTTGAAGAGGCACATACTTTGTCGAATTTGCACGGGCGCGCACAATTTTTGACCCCTTTGGAATCCTTTGCAATGGCATCCAGCGCGTGCGCAGGAAGCACACGCAAGGCAGCAGTTTGAGTGGCCGGGCAGCAAGATGCGGCAAGTTCTTTCCGGGCCATTTGAGCAACGAACTGATCCACCCGTGTTCTTGGGGGGGTGGCGCAGAACACATGCAAAGGCCAAAACATAGAGCCGAGTTGCTTTTCTTTTAGCTCTTTTGAGGCAAACGCAAGCGAAGCAAGCGCAAGAGAGGCACGTGCTGGAAGAGGCGCAGAGTGACGACGAGTGCTGGATTCTGTGCGCAGAGTTTGTTCTAGCCCCGGGTTCTATGAAGATGGTGGTTTGGTGGTTTGCAGCCAGAGGTCTCGTACGGCGAGCTATGAGTGAAAGAAGTACCGCAGCAGCCAATTTCAACATGTGCCGTGATATGAACGAGTCAGCGGACTGATTGAGTCCTTGGGGCATGCTGCGACACCTTGCCAGGCCGAAAGCAAGGCGGCTGAGAAGGTGCAGAAGAAGCAGGCAAAGCAGCTGGAGCAGGAGTGGCCAGGCTGCACATGAGCTCCATGCCTTGCTTGTCTTCTTTACCTTCTTTGCCTCTTTGCCGCACTTGCCTCACTTGCATCGCTTGCATCGCTTACCTTGCTTTGCTTGCCTCGCTTGCCTTGGCTTGCTGAGAGCGGCTTGAGGATTCGCACTTGGCGGGTGCCTAGTTGGTTGGGATTTCTCTCGGCTCCGGCTTTGTCTTGGAGTTCTGAGAGTTGGCCAAACTCTGTTCAAACAACCAGACCATGGCCCCCTAATTTAGACAAAGGAGAAAGGGATTCCATGTACAAGGGAGTTTTGACAATGGCACACATGTTTAAGGCGGTTGAGCCAACCCTGCTTGCGGTTCTGCATTGCCTCTCAGGCAGCTGCGAGCACTGCAGGCAGTTGGAGAGGCGCATTGGGCTCTGATCTCGTCCGCACACAGACCTATATGGCTATGGGGCAAAACCAATGGTACCGCACCACCCATTTTAGTCTATTTTAGTGGGGATTGGGATGTTCACGGGGGGTACGGGCTTTTGACCCATTGCCATATTTCCCTTTTCACTTGGTTTGAGCATCGCCTGATCCAGCCCCAGCCTCATGCGGAGGCATCCCTGGCCCGAGCGCAGGAAGCACATGCGAGGCAGCAGGAGGAGTGGCCAGGCGGCAAGATGTGGGCAAGATGGGATTGTGCCATTTGTCGCATCGGTGTCGGCTCCGATGTCGGCTCTGGACAGTCGCTGTGGCCGCGAAGGTCTGATTGTCAGCGACAAAACAAAAGCGCCTTGGGGCCGAGCAGTGCTTGAGCCAAGGTTGGCCATGCGAGCGGAAGGGCAGCTCAAGGAGGCGGGCTTCGGGCTTTGCTTCCTGACTAATCGAAGCTTTTGTAACATGCGGAATCTAGCGAAAGTTTTACATATTTTCATTTTTCATTTTTATGAGCTTTTTCTCATGTCTGTGTCAGGAGCTCAGGGCTCTTCAGGACGCCGGGACTGCATGTATGATGTATCTCAGGGTGTGACTCATTGAACGTTGTGCGCATGGTTGCTGTGTCGAGGCTGAAGCTTCAGGTTGAGCATTGTCGGACAGAGTTTTACCTTTGGCATGCGAGGAGCAACAGTTGGCAATTGCCGCCCAGGCATGCCGGGTTCATCAGCTGCAGACACTGGTTGTTGAAGTTTCGTTCAGGATCCTTGTTGTGCCATCGGCTAATCGGCTAGGAACTTGTAGGCTTGACCCGAGAAAGCCATTGACTGTCACATAGCATTGCCTAAAAGCAACATGATCAGGCTGCGAAGGCTGCTCAGGAGGCACAGGAGAAGCAGGCAAAGCAACTGGAGCAGGAGTGGCCAGGCTGCACAAAAGCTCCCGCTTGCCTCACTTTCTTCGATTGCCTCGCTTGCCCTTCTTGGGCCAAGCTTGAGGATTCCAAGTGTGAGAGTTGATTTGGAGTGCCCTGGGTTTGGGCTCTGCGGCTGCGATTTGAGGCACTTGCCAGAGTTCAGTGGACCTAGGCAGTTGCGAGCACTGCAAGCGCTTGGAGAGGCACGAGGGCACGTTCTTCCCTCACCTCTGCGCATTGGGCCCCAGCCTCGTGCGGAGGCATCCATGGCCCGGGCGCAGGAAGCACATGCGAGGCAGCAGGAGGAGTGGCCAGGCGGCAAGATTTGGGCAAGATGGGATTGTGCCATTTGTCGCATCGGTGTCGGCTCCGATGTCGGCTCTGGACAGTCGCTGTGGCCGCGAAGGTCTGATTGTCAGCGGCAAAACAAGAGCGCCTTGGGGCCGAGCTGTGCTTGAGCCAAGGTTGGCCATGCGAGCGGAAGGGCAGCTCAAGGAGGCGGGCCTCGGGCTTTGTGTTTGGTGTGGAACTCTATTTGGGTGTCCCAGTGATTAGAGGGACCCCAAAATGGTCGGTTTGCCTTTTGGTTTCCACTTAAAGAAACCTGACCCGCTTGGGGACTTTGGGACTTTTTGTGACTTGGTGGGATTAGGACAACAGGGACCTTTAGTTAATAAGTTACAAAACAGTGAAGTTGCAGTGTCAGAGTGAGCCGCTAACTGCAGAAAGTTGGCTGGTGCACGTAGCCTGAGCCTGTCGCAGGAGCTCAGGGCTTTGCAGGACGCAGGGTACGGCTGGGTGGTTCCGCTGTTTGCATGGAATTGCATGCCTATCCTTGTTCTGAGTCTTTGCAGTGCTGGTCTTGCCCTCTTGGGGAACAGTTTCGACCTATTCCTAGTGTGGTTTCTTCCAAACTTCGAAACAGCAGCGGTTGCATGCGAGGAGCAAGAGCTGGTGGTGGCTGCACAGGCTTGCTGGGTTTCATCAGCTGCAGCCAGTGTCGGCAAATTTGGTTGACGACCCTAATTATTTGAGTCGTCGTCTTTGAGCTGTTGCTGGTTGGGCATGTGTTTTTTCGCATCCGTGGCATTGGGGGAGGGGGCAGATCAGAAAGAACATGATTAAACGGCAAATACTTGTAGTTGATGCGCTGATGACATCACGGTCTAGGACATCGGCTTTCACAAGCTTCATATCTCACTAAGTTTTCTACAATCTACAGAGGAGCAGACTCATTTTGCCGATGCCCATTGCGATTACCGTGTTTGACCCCATCTCATGTATCTCAGTCAGACCGCAGTGGATTCTTGCTGTAACAGGCAGATCCACGTAGAGTGTTTGGTGCGCAAAACACTGAATGTCAGATTTAAGCGGTTTAACTCTAGAGTTCAGGCCTCCATGCTCATCTGTCTGCTACCAGATTAACTCCAGACTTCGGACAGGCAGCATCAAGGTCTTTACTTCACTGCCTAGTTCGGCTTTTGAAGCGTAATTTCACTTGTGCAGAGATAGGACTGATCTTTGGAGTTAAGGTGTCATTGTTGCGTCCAATGCTTCTTTGTCTTTAATTTGTCAAAAGGCACTGACAAATTCATCAGCCCGCCCCAGCTTGCATCGAGGCGCGTGAGGCCTGCCAGGCTGATGAGGCTCAGCAGCCCCTTGGCAAGATGGGTTTCTGTTGGCAAGTCAAGCGTTGTCGCAAACAGGGAACAGACAAAGAGGCAGCTTTGTGGGCAGGTGAGAGGCTTCATGCCAGGAGGTAGGAGCCAGCGCTCCGTGCATTTAGCGCCATTGAGGCAAGTCCAAGAGAAGCAAGCGCTGGAAGCACAAGAGAAGCAGGCAAAGCAATTGGAGCAAGAGTGGCCAGGCCGCACGTAAGCCTTTGAGCAGGGTCACTTGCATGGCTTTCCTGGCTCGCAAGGGGAAGTTTGAGACCAGTACGTTTGACGCTTGGTTTGGCTGCGGCGGGTTTGGAGCGGCTGTGGCTTCGGTCACCTGCGAGGGTTGACCGGACCTCTGAGGCAGTTGCGAGCGCGGCACGCAGTTGAAGAGGTGCATGGTCTCGGTTTGTTTGTCCGCACGTTGACTGGGCGGGCAGAAGACCGGCTCCATCATCCCTCTTTGACTCCTTTGGATGTGGGTCCTCCCTTCTAACCCCATTTGCCCCACCAGCCCCGGCTTCGTGCGAGGCATCCATGGCCCGGGCGCAGGAAGCACATGCGAGGCAGCAGGAGGAGTGGCCAGGCGGCAAGATTTGGGCAAGATGGGATTGTGCCATTTGTCGCATCGGTGTCGGCTCCGATGTCGGCTCTGGACAGTCGCTGTGGCCGCGAAGGTCTGATTGTCAGCGGCAAAACAAGAGCGCCTTGGGGCCGAGCTGTGCTTGAGCCAAGGTTGGCCATGCGAGCGGAAGGGCAGCTCAAGGAGGCGGGCCTCGGGCTTTGTGTTTGGTTTGGAGCTCTATTTGGGTATGTGTCCCATTCGGGGGGACCCAAAATGGACGGGTTGCCTTTTGGTTTCCATTTAAACCAGCCTGACTTGCTTGTGGACTTTGGGACTTTTTGTGCCTTTGGGGGGATGGGGACAATAGGGACCTTCAGTTAATAAGTTACAAAACAGTGAAGTTGCAGTGTCAGAGTCAGCCGCTAAATGCAGAAAGTTGGCGGGAACATGTAGCCTGAGCCTGTCGCAGGAGCTCAGGGCTTTGCAGGACGCAGGGCACGGCTGGGTGGTTTCGCTGTTTGCGTGGAATTGTATGCCTATCCTTGTTCTGAGTCTTTGCAGTGCTGGTCTTGCCCTCTTGAGGAACAGTTTCGACCTATTCCTAGTGTGGTTTCTTCCAAACTTCGAAACAGCAGCGGTTGCATGCGAGGAGCAAGAGCTGGTGGTGGCTGCACAGGCTTGCTGGGTTTCATCAGCTGCAACCAGTGTCGGCAAATTTGGTTGACGACCCCAATTGTTTGAGTCGTCGTCTTTGAGCTGTTGCTGGTTGGGCATGTGTTTTTTCGCATCCGTGGCATTGGGGGAGGAGACAGATAAGCAACTACTCGTAGTTGATGCTCCGATGACATCACGATCTAGGAAATTGGATTGACTTCCGAGCTAAGGGGAGTCGAGCTTTGTCATTTCACGGGCTTCATGAACCCACCACAAACACAGAGGGACTCACTCATTTCTCCGATGCCCATAGCGATTACCGTGCAGGCCTTGATGCCAGGGCTTTACTGCCTAGTTCGGCTTTTGAAGTGTACACTTGTGCAGAGATAGGACTGATCTTTGGAGTTAAGGTGTCATTGTTGCATCCAATGCTTCTTTGTCTTTAATTTGGCGGGCTTTGACTTCGAGTGCTTGTCAAAAGGCACTGACAAATTCATCAGCCCGCCTCAGCTTGCATCGAGGCGCGTGAGGCCTTCCAGGCTGATGAGGCTCAGCAGCCCCTTGGCAAGATGGGTTTCTGTTGGCAAGTCAAGCGTTGTCGCAAACAGGGAACAGACAAAGAGGCAGCTTTGTGGGGCAGGTGAGAGGCTTCATGCCAGGAGGTAGGAGCCAGCGCTCCGTGCATTTAGCGCCATTGAGGCAAGTCCAAGAGAAGCAAGCGCTGGAAGTTCAAGAGAAGCAGGCAAAGCAATTGGAGCAAGAGTGGCCAGGCCGCACGTAAGCCTTTGAGCAGGGTCACTTGCATGGCTTTCCTGGCTCGCAAGGGGAAGTTTGAGACCAGTACGTTTGACGCTTGGTTTGGCTGCGGCGGGTTTGGAGCGGCTGTGGCTTCGGTCACCTGCGAGGGTTGACCGGACCTCTGAGGCAGTTGCGAGCGCGGCACGCAGTTGAAGAGGTCATGGTCTCGGATTTTCTCCGCAAGTTGACTGGGCGAGCAGACGACCGGCTCCATTATTCCTCTCGCACTCCTTTGCATGTGGGTCCTCCCGTCTGGCCCCATTTGCCCCACCAGCCCCAGCCTCATGCGGAGGCATCCATGGCCCGGGCGCAGGAAGCACATGCGAGGCAGCAGGAGGAGTGGCCAGGCGGCAAGATTTGGGCAAGATGGGATTGTGCCATTTGTCGCATCGGTGTCGGCTCCGATGTCGGCTCTGGACAGTCGCTGTGGCCGCGAAGGTCTGATTGTCAGCGGCAAAACAAGAGCGCCTTGGGGCCGAGCTGTGCTTGAGCCAAGGTTGGCCATGCGAGCGGAAGGGCAGCTCAAGGAGGCGGGCCTCGGGCTTTGTGTTTGGTTTGGAGCTCTATTTGGGTATGTGTCCCATTCGGGGGGACCCAAAATGGTCGGGTTGCCTTTTGGTTTCCATTTAAACCAGCCTGACCCGCTTGTGGACTTTGGGACTTTTGTGCCTTTGGGGGGATGGGGACAATAGGGACCTTCAGTTAATAAGTTACAAAACAGTGAAGTTGCAGTGTCAGAGTCAGCCGCTAACTGCAGAAAGTTGGCGGGTACATGTAGCCTGAGCCTCCTGAGCCTGTCGCAGGAGCTCAGGGCTTTGCAGGACGCAGGGCACGGCTGGGTGGTTTCGCTGTTTGCGTGGAATTGTATGCCTATCCTTGTTCTGAGTCTTTGCACTGCTGGTCTTGCCCTCTTGAGGAACAGTTTCGACCTATTCCTAGTGTGGTTTCTTCCAAACTTCGAAACAGCAGCGGTTGCATGCGAGGAGCAAGAGCTGGTGGTGGCTGCACAGGCTTGCTGGGTTTCATCAGCTGCAACCAGTGTCGGCAAATTTGGTTGACGACCCCAATTGTTTGAGTCGTCGTCTTTGAGCTGTTGCTGGTTGGGCATGTGTTTTTTCGCATCCGTGGCATTGGGGGAGGAGACAGATAAGCAACTACTCGTAGTTGATGCTCCGATGACATCACGATCTAGGAAATTGGATTGACTTCGGAGCTAAGGGGAGTCGAGCTGTGTCATTTCACGGGCTTCATGATCCCACCAAGTTTTCTACCAAACACAGAGGGACTCACTCATTTCTCCGATGCCCATAGCGATTAGCGTGCAGGCCTTGATGCCAGGGCTGTACTGCCTAGTTCGGCTTTTGAAGTGTACACTTGTGCAGAGATAGGACTGATCTTTGGAGTTAAGGTGTCATTGTTGCATCCAATGCTTCTTTGTCTTTAATTTGGAGGGCTTTGACTTCGAGTGCTTGTCAAAAGGCACTGACAAATTCATCAGCCCGCCCCAGCTTGCATCGAGGCGCGTGAGGCCTGCCAGGCTGATGAGGCTCAGCAGCCCCTTGGCAAGATGGGTTTCTGTTGGCAAGTCAAGCGTTGTCGCAAACAGGGAACAGACAAAGAGGCAGCTTTGTGGGGCAGGTGAGAGGCTTCATGCCAGGAGGTAGGAGCCAGCGCTCCGTGCATTTAGCGCCATTGAGGCAAGTCCAAGAGAAGCAAGCGCTGGAAGCACAAGAGAAGCAGGCAAAGCAATTGGAGCAAGAGTGGCCAGGCCGCACGTAAGTCTTTGAGCAGGGTCACTTGCATGGCTTTCCTGGCTCGCAAGGGGAAGTTTGAGACCAGTACGTTTGACGCTTGGTTTGGCTGCGGCGGGTTTGGAGCGGCTGTGGCTTCGGTCACCTGCGAGGGTTGACCGGACCTCTGAGGCAGTTGCGAGCGCGGCACGCAGTTGAAGAGGTCATGGTCTCGGATTTTCTCCGCAAGTTGACTGGGCGAGCAGACGACCGGCTCCATTATTCCTCTCGCACTCCTTTGCATGTGGGTCCTCCCGTCTGGCCCCATTTGCCCCACCAGCCCCAGCCTCATGCGGAGGCATCCATGGCCCGGGCGCAGGAAGCACATGCGAGGCAGCAGGAGGAGTGGCCAGGCGGCAAGATTTGGGCAAGATGGGATTGTGCCATTTGTCGCATCGGTGTCGGCTCCGATGTCGGCTCTGGACAGTCGCTGTGGCCGCGAAGGTCTGATTGTCAGCGGCAAAACAAGAGCGCCTTGGGGCCGAGCTGTGCTTGAGCCAAGGTTGGCCATGCGAGCGGAAGGGCAGCTCAAGGAGGCGGGCCTCGGGCTTTGTGTGTTGGTTTGGAGCTCTATTTGGGTATGTGTCCCATTCGGGGGGACCCAAAATGGTCGGGTTGCCTTTTGGTTTCCATTTAAACCAGCCTGACCCGCTTGTGGACTTTGGGACTTTTGTGCCTTTGGGGGGATGGGGACAATAGGGACCTTCAGTTAATAAGTTACAAAACAGTGAAGTTGCAGTGTCAGAGTCAGCCGCTAACTGCAGAAAGTTGGCGGGTACATGTAGCCTGAGCCTCCTGAGCCTGTCGCAGGAGCTCAGGGCTTTGCAGGACGCAGGGCACGGCTGGGTGGTTTCGCTGTTTGCGTGGAATTGTATGCCTATCCTTGTTCTGAGTCTTTGCAGTGCTGGTCTTGCCCTCTTGAGGAACAGTTTCGACCTATTCCTAGTGTGGTTTCTTCCAAACTTCGAAACAGCAGAGGTTGCATGCGAGGAGCAAGAGCTGGTGGTGGCTGCACAGGCTTGCTGGGTTTCATCAGCTGCAGCCAGTGTCGGCAAATTTGGTTGACGACCCCAATTATTTGAGTCGTCGTCTTTGAGCTGTTGCTGGTTGGGCATGTTTTTTCGCATCCGTGGCATTGGGGGAGGAGACAGATAAGCAACTACTCGTAGTTGATGCTCCGATGACATCACGATCTAGGAAATTGGATTGACTTCGGAGCTAAGGGGAGTCGAGCTTTGTCATTTCACGGGCTTCATGAACCCACCACAAACACAGAGGGACTCACTCATTTCGCCGATGCCCATAGCGATTACCGTGCAGGCCTTGATGCCAGGGCTTTACTGCCTAGTTCGGCTTTTGAAGTGTACACTTGTGCAGAGATAGGACTGATCTTTGGAGTTAAGGTGTCATTGTTGCATCCAATGCTTCTTTGTCTTTAATTTGGAGGGCTTTGACTTCGAGTGCTTGTCAAAAGGCACTGACAAATTCATCAGCCCGCCCCAGCTTGCATCAAGGCGCGTGAGGCCTGCCAGGCTGATGGGGCTCAGCAGCCCCTTGGCAAGATGGGTTTCTGTTGGCAAGTCAAGCGTTGTCGCAAACAGGGAACAGACAAAGAGGCAGCTTTGTGGGGCAGGTGAGAGGCTTCATGCCAGGAGGTAGGAGCCAGCGCTCCGTGCATTTAGCGCCATTGAGGCAAGTCCAAGAGAAGCAAGCGCTGGAAGCACAAGAGAAGCAGGCAAAGCAATTGGAGCAAGAGTGGCCAGGCCGCACGTAAGCCTTGGAGCAGGGTCACTTGCCTGGCTTTCCTGGCTCGCAAGGGGAAGTTTGAGACCAGTACGTTTGACGCTTGGTTTGGCTGCGGCGGGTTTGGAGCGGCTGTGGCTTCGGTCACCTGCGAGGGTTGACCGGACCTCTGAGGCAGTTGCGAGCGCGGCACGCAGTTGAAGAGGTCATGGTCTCGGATATTCTCCGCACGTTGAGAAGACCGGCTCCATTATGCCTCTCCGACTCCTTTGGATGTGGGTCCTCCCTTCTAACCCCATTTGCCCCACCAGCCCCGGCTTCGTGCGAGGCGTCCATGGCCCGGGCGCAGGAAGCACATGCGAGGCAGCAGGAGGAGTGGCCAGGCGGCAAGATGTGGGCAAGACGGGATCGGGGCATCCGTCGCCTCGATGTCGGCTCCGATGTCGGCTCCGATGTCGGCTGGTCTGCTTGTCAAAGGCAAAGCAAAAGCGCCTTGCGGCCGAGCTGTGCTTGAGCCAAGGTTGGCCATGCGAGCGGAAGGGCAGCTCAAGGAGGCGGGCTTCGGGCTTTGTGTTTGGGACTCTATTTGGGCACTTGTGCCATTGGGGGGACCCCAAAATGGTCGGTTTGCTTTTTTAATTTCCATTCAATCAAATGCAACTTTTGTGACACTGGGGGGATTGGGAGAATAGGGACCTTCAGCTGGTAAGTTACAGAACAATCAACGAAGTAAAGTTGCGGTGTCAGAGTCAGCCGCTCACTGCAGAAAGGTAGCTGGTACATGTAGCCTGAGCCTGTCGCAGGAGCTGAGGGCTTTGCAGGACGCAGGGCGCGAGTGGGTGGTTCCGCTGTTTGCGTGGAGCAGTTTCGACCTATTCCTAGTGTGGTTTCTTCCAAGATTCGAAACAGAAGCAGTTGCATGCGAGGAGCAAGAGCTCGTGGTGGCTACACAGGCTTGCTGGGTTTCATCAGCTGCAGCCAGCGTTGGCAGTTTGGTTGAGGACTCTATTTGTGTCGTCTCTGAGGGATGTGCTGTTGTTGCTTGGGCATGTGTTTATTCGGCATCAGTGGCAGTGGGGGAGGAGACAGATCAGAAGGAACATGATTGAGCGGCAAATACTTGTAGTTGACGCTCCGATGACATCACGGTCTAGGACATCGGCTTGACTTCGGAGCGAAGGGGAGTCAAGCTTCGTCATTTCACAAGCTTCATGATCTCACTAAGTTTTCTACCATTTACAGAGGAGCTGACTCATTTTTCCGATGCCTATTGCAATGACAGTGTGTTTTGACCGCATTCATGTACTTCAGTCAAACAGCAGTGCACTCTTGCTGGATCAGGTAGATCCACCTAGAGTGTTTGGTGCGCGAAACACCGAATGTCAGATTTAAGCGGTTTAACTCCAGAGTTCAGCTATCCATGTTCACCTTTGTCCGACCAGAATAACTCCAGACTTCGGTCAGGCGTTATCAAGGTCTTTACTTCACTGCCTAGGTCGGCTTTTGAAGGTGTTCACTTGTGCAGAGGTAGGACTGATCTTTGGAGTTAAGGTGTCATGATGACATCCAATGCTTTTGCCATATAGTGCTTGTTAAAAGACACTGACCGATTCATCAGCCCGACTCAGCTTGCATCGAGGCGCGTGAGGCCTGCGAGGCTGATGAGGCTCAGCAGCCCCTTGGCAAGATGGGATTCTGCCGGCAAGTCAAGCGTTGTCGGAGGCAGGAGCCAGCACTCCGTGCATTTAGCGCCATTGAGGCAAGTCCAAGAGAAGCAAGCGCTGGAGGCACAAGAGAAGCAGGCAAAGCAATTGGAGCAAGAGTGGCCAGGCCGCACGTAAGCCTTTGAGCAGGGTCACTTGCCTGGCTTTCCTGGCTCGCAAGGGGAAGTTTGAGACCAGTACGTTTGACGCTTGGTTTGGTGCAAGGGTTGACCGGACCTCTGAGGCAGTTGCGAGCGCGGCACGCAGTTGAAGAGGTCATGGTCTCGGATATTCTCCGCAAGTTGACTGGGCGAGCAGACGACCGGCTCCATCATCCCTCTCCCACTCCTTTGCATGTGGGTCCTCCCGTCTGGCCCCATTTGCCCCACCAGCCCCAGTCCTCATGCGGAGGCATCCATGGCCCGGGCGCAGGAAGCACATGCGAGGCAGCAGGAGGAGTGGCCAGGCGGCAAGATTTGGGCAAGATGGGATTGTGCCATTTGTCGCATCGGTGTCGGCTCCGATGTCGGCTCTGGACAGTCGCTGTGGCCGCGAAGGTCTGATTGTCAGCGGCAACACAAAAGCGCCTTGGGGCCGAGCTGTGCTTGAGCCAAGGTTGGCCATGCGAGCGGAAGGGCAGCTCAAGGAGGCGGGCTTGGGGCTCTGTGTTTGATGGGTGGACCAAGCTGTGTCAATTTTTGCATTTGAGAGACGTTTGATCTTTAGTTTTAGGAGGTGCCGGGTGTCAGTCGAGGAAGGCAGCTGCTCATTTAGCTTCTGCCTGTCGCAGGAGCTCCGGGCTTTGCAGGACGCAGGGCGCGTCTGGTTCCGCTGTTTGCGGAGCTGTGGTCTTGCCCTTGGCAAGTGCACTCCTTGTGCTGCCCTCCCCGGGGGTCATTTCGGATGACTTCTTCCCCGCCATCGCGTAGGAGCAAGAGGTGGCTGCACAGGCGTGGGCTCGGCAGTGCTGTCTGGGAATTGGGCTCAGCAGTGGCACGTGAAGAGGCATATGATTGGGCGGCATCGCCTTGTCGGCTTGATGACATTTCGGTGTAGGCAAACGGCAAACCGCTACACTTTCCAGTTGCGAATCTAACCTCTGAACGGATCGAAGCCTCTGTTTTTTTCTTCTTTTTTTTTTGGGGGGGGGTTCAAAGCAGGGAAAAGGCACTGAGTTGCAGAGGCTCCGAGGCTTGTGAGTGCCTTGCCATTGAGTCCACAGGCCTTTGGTCAACCCGCCGCCGGAGTTTTTTAGCGCAAAAGGGCGGTTTGCGGGCGGTTCATGGCCGTGCATGTTTCAGCCTGGCAGATTGCTGATGTGCCATCGGATTCACGGATGCAAGACAAGCTGCCCAGGGATTCTGGCAAGAGACGCATGTCCTTGGGGAATTCTTGTTGAAATGCAAAGGCAGGGTGAAACTCGCAGTGGCCCCAACCCCCAGCCGACAACCAGCCTTGCCTGCCTCGGCAGCGCCACTCAGTTCCCGTTTCACGCCCATTAGGGTTCTTTCCCGTTCCCAGCGACGCGCATCGCGCAATTGACGCAACGCGCGCCGCCATCTCTCCGTGCCGCATCTTCCGCCATGGTGTCCCACGACTCCCTGGTGCGTGCGGAGAAGCGCCTGGGTACCGCGGCGGTGGTGGGACGCTTCCACCGCCCCAACGAGCGGAGCCTCGCTGATGACTACGAGCTCAATGAGAAGGCCGTGGGGGGGAGGCTGCGCTTGCTGTCCATGTTTGAAGAGGGCCCAGGTTTCAAGCAATGCTTTTGCTTGTATGGCTTTGTTCTGGCTGGAGACTTTCGACTTACAAGATTGGCTGGAGGGCGGAGTGTTAGAAGCGGTACATGTAAGCAGAGTAGACGTGCTGTGTTGAACAAGTAGTGTAAGACTAGTAAGACAGAAAGCAGACGGTTTGCAAATGTCTTTCGGTCAACATTTTCAATACTATTGTCAAGTTGGGAGGGACAGGGGGACGCACTAATTAAGTTTCCCACAACAACCGAAAAGCAAATGCGGGTAAAGACATATTTGCTCCTGGTTCATACGCGACCTGTTCTCCCATTTGGCATATATGCAAATGGGAATCGGCCATAAAGCGTGATCAGGTCTTGTGCCTAACACAGCTCACTGAGCCAAGATTTCGCAGATGTTTCCGACCTGTGGGTGCCAGCCAAACATCGAATCAAAATCAGAGCCCATTCCCAGTGGTTGGCTGCCTTCCGGTTTTGAGCATGCGGCTCTTGTTTGGCTCGCGTTGAGATGCGCCGTTGCTCGCTCTGCCAGGTGCTTGGAACTGGCTGCAGCGGACAAGTCATGCTAGCCCCGTGGCTCCAACTGCGCGCCGGTAGGGGGTCACCAGGGGGCTTGGAAGGTGTGAGTGTTGCGTCGGGAATCGGGGAAATCACTTTGCAACACTTCACTGGGTAAACAGGTTTTCCTCGTTCCATATGAGTTTCACCTGGAACCACTAGAAGTTCGTGGACATACATTTCCATATCATAAATGATGACTACAAAAGGGTCCCCAATTTGATTCATACAGACGGGCCCCCAAAGTGGTCTCTTGCTGTTTTGCAACCGGGTGCGATTTTTGTGGTGCACCCATGGCAACCACTTCCTGTTTGCCATAGGGCCGGTTTCAGCGGAATCTTAGGACCTGTGCCGTAGAATCTTTCGAAATGGAGTGCTACCCTTGCGATGGTTGAAGCATTAAAGCGTTCGGCCTAATCCTTGAGAACTGTCGGAACCACAAGTCGAAACCTTTTTGTCTACATTCAGGGGCTGATTTTGTAGTTACCCTTTGGTTCCATGTCCCGGGACGCCCTGGACCTCCAAAATGCGGACCGGACATGGATCCCTTCTCATGTCCACCAAAGGCTCTGACTGCCCGACCCCTGATGCTGGCAAAACCGAGGCAGCGAGCCGAGCAACCGGCTGCAAAGCGGCGGTCAAGACGTTGAGCCTCGTGGGGATTTCGGAAAAGGCACCGTTTTTTGTTTGGTTTGCGGAAAGTGGACAATTTGGGCAACTCAGTTGTCTCATTTCTTTTTTCGAACATCGCGATCTAATAGGGTTTCTAGTATTTGCTGGGAAGTGGGCAGAGTGCTTGACACAAGCCACATTGTTTTCTTTTCTGGTCTCTATCGCTCCTCAGAAGGCACACGAGTTGAGGCGCAAAAAAAGAATACATCAGCAGCTCCCCAAGAAAACAACAGGTGCAGTACAAACGCAGTGCTAACAGTCGTAGAGTGACAGTACCGTTAGCAGATTCAGCATGGGCTGATGCGCCGGAGACCAGCAGTACAATGGCACTAGCACTACTTGTAATGATGATGGTAGTAATAACTGTGGACCAGGAAGGGATCAACTTTAGAGCCTCGGCTCAGTCCGCCGACATTGTCCTCTCCCTTTTCTCCTTCTTCCTCTCTCCCTTGTCTCCCTCGTGTGTTCTGTCGTCCTCTCTCCCTCCCTCTGCTCCCCATCCTCCCCATCCCCCCAAGCCTCTCGCTCCTCAATCTCCCTCTCTCTGTCTCTCTCTCTCTTCTCTCTCTTCTCTCTCTTTCTCTCTCTCTGTCTCTCTCTCTCTCTCTCTCTCTCTCTCTCTCTCTCTCTCTCTGTTTCTCTGTCTCTTTCTGTCTCCCTGTCTCCTTCCTGTCCACGCCCCTCTACAGAAAAAGGGTACCCTAATTCGAACCTCTCTGCTCTCTCCCTTTCTCGCTCTTTCTCTCTGTCTCTCTCTCTCTCTCTGTCTTTCCGTGTCTCTCTTTCTCAGTCTCTCTCTTTCTCTCTCTCTCTCTCTGTCTCTGGCTCTGTCTCTGTCTCTCTCTCTCTCTCTCTCTCTCTCTCTCTCTCTTTCTCACTCTCTGTCTCTCTCTCTCTCTCTCTCTCTCTCTCGCTCTCCCTCTCTCTCTCCCGCTCTCTCGCTGTCTCTCTCTCTCTCTCTCTCTCTCTGCATTGCAGCGTCACGTCCCCCCTGAGTTGCCTCGATGTCCGGGCACTGCCCCTTCATGACCCTGAACTGTCATCTCACTACGGGCTTTCCCCTTGATTTCCCCTTCATGTCCTTTTCACGTTTCCCATGATGTTCTGGTCATGTCCCTTCCATGCCTTTCAACTCCCCCTTCCTCTCCCGGACGTTTTCTCGGTGTGTCCGCTTCGTTTTCCGTGTGTGTCCCGGTCTTTCGTTGCGAGTCATTTCCCTACATCTCCCGTCGTGCCGATTGGTTTCCTTGTGCTTTGTTTCCCTTTCATTCCCCCTGCACTCCCCTTGTTTTCATTTCTGTCCCTTGCATGTCCCTTTCAGTTCCCCTTCGTTTCCCTTTCATTTCCCGCTGCTTTCCTGTCATGTCAACTTCCTATTTCCTCCCCTCATTTCCTTTGCTCCTCAATATTTCCCGCAAAAAAAAAACACGGTTTTTCCAGCGTTTTCGCAATTAGGACGTCCAAAAACACAGAGGTTTTTCAGATGTTCGGCAAAAGGAGGCAGGAACCCCAAACCAGCAAAGAGCCGGCAGGGGGAATCGAGCCTGGGACCCCTGTTTTGCGACCGGCTCCCCGAAGACTGCGTTTAGTGGAACGTCATCAAATTGCCGCGCGGTCCGTGGGGTGAGGGGGGGGGTCAGGGCGGGTTATCCTCTATCCCCTCTTAGGTGTCCGACACGCCGAGCAATGTCGGCGGATATACGAGGTATTGCCTTGTCGACGCTCCTCCTGAAGGTTTAGGCATTTTCGGAAGCAAATCTCGTCAGAGGATGGCGGGTGAAACCTGTAATGACTTGCTGCGTGTACCATTCCGAGATGCAAGTTGCGTTGCTACCCATCCCTCTCAAACGTCTGCACGCGCAAAGATTACACAGGCCTGGAATGGACATGTGTTCGCTGCGTGTGCCTTGATGGCCAGTCTTGCGCCTGATTGCAAGTGTGCTGGGAAGTGGTGGCCGGGCTGCGTGATGCAATCTTGGGCCACTTTGTGCAGGCTCGGAAGGAGTTGGAGAATGAGGTGGCTTCTTGTCTGCAAAGGATGCCAACAGCTAGGTTCTAGCTTTCAGAGACACTCTTGGTCAGCAGGTAAACCTTACAAAGGGGTCCTTTTTGATGCAAGGAAGCCGCAAAGTGCACTGGCATAAAAGAGCATCATCATCATCATCATCATCATCGTCGTCAGCATCGTCAGCAAAATTGTCCTACTGCAACATTACGAATATCACCATCATCTCCATCACTGTTGCCATCGCTAGCATTCCCAGCATCACTGGCACCCCAGCATCCCCAACACCTCACCACACTCGAATCATCCTTCCTGTTGTGCGGGGGGAACGTTAAACACCAAAAGTGCAAGCACTCAATTGGCTTAGCTTTGGTAACCAGCTTGAATTCTTTGAGTGATTTCAGGTTGCGGTGATTCCGAGGAACTCTTTCTGAGCATGGACCATCCGCGCGTGGCACGACTTTTGGACGTCTACGAATCTGAAGGTCGACTGAGTCTGGTCATGGAGTGCATGGAAGGCTGGACCCTTGCAAGATCTGACCGGTGGGAATGTGCAATTGCAATTGCTGGATTTGTCCTGTGTTCTGGGACATTTCCCCTTCGCTGGTTCACGTTGCTTTGACGAGTATGGAACAATGCTTTTGGAGCCTTCACCAAAAACTGGCATGGATGTCATTCGAGCCCGCACTTATCTTGATGTCAGACCTAGAAAGGCAAGCAATCAAATTCTATAGTATATACCCTGAAGGTTGTCACATTCTTTTTGAAAGCGCGAGGGGACTTTCAGGGTGTACATTGCAGGTATTTCCCTTGTTACCTGCTAGCAGCATTTGAGATTCAGCAGCATCAGAAGCACTTCGCAACCCATTTGGAAGGGCAAGATCTCTTTCCTGGAGCCAATAGTGCTTGAAAGTCTTGCTTTTGTGGCATGTCAACCAGGGCGCCCTTTGGTGGCAGGTCAT